CTTAACGATGTAACATAACGTGAAACACTGTAATACTTATTACTTACTATTTCTATATTTATTCTTAACATTTTGACATTAATAAATAGTCATTTTGTGCCTTAGTTACGATATTTTCTATCTTTCCTTTTCATTCTCTATCTTCACTTCGCAGCTGTTCTCCATTTTTCGCGATTCTCCGTGGTATCAATTATTTCTACTGACTGAGAATATTCTGTTTTATCAGCTGTACTTCTTTTATCTTCTAACTTATCTTCTCATCCTCTTGGCTGTAATGATGTTCTTATTTCATTTGCCTTTGGAATTATGTCTCACATGTAACTTCTTTAAAAATATTGATTGCATCAATATGCAATCTCAAATGCTTTCGTATCAGATTAGGCAGTCTAGCGGTAGTATAAATTCTTTCCAAGTTGTACTATCAGTTACGAAGTAAATTCAATGAGGGAAAGCACAGCGAAATGTGTAAAGTACATTCAACTGATTATTTGAAAATTTTGCAATGTGCACGCTTTTCGGCGCGGTACGATCAGAGATACCAGGTTGAGGACGGGAGCCACCGAGAATTTGCCCCTCCACAAAGTTCTGCACGGACCAAGCCGGCGGCCCGTTTCTCCCTCCACTAAGGGCCGAGTGGGCTTTGCGATAACGAGAAATAGGATACTTTGGCCCGTTCGGCCAGTGACGGCGACGGCTCGTTCGACCCTTCATAGTCCGTCCGGTCGGCCCGTGCTACGAGCCGACGCGAGCCGAACCCAAGGCTCGCCGAGGCTATAGTGCGTTCGCGATTAGTTATCGAACGCCGCGTGAGTACGAGATCCCTGGGTACGATGCCGATGCCCCGTTCAGTGGCATTACTCCGGCGGAGTGGACTGCCGTAAGGTAATTTTTAATAAAAATTGTTACATAAATTTTTTATACAAATCGTTGATGCGACTTATAACTTGTCCAGGATGTACATACATTGTACTTCAGTAATCAGCACAATTTGAAACGTCGTTCTAATTATTCTAATAGAATGCACATGATTTCACATTGAGAAGCTACACATGCTGGAGAGAAAGATCAAAAGAACGCAAAGTCGGAAAGATATTGGAATATCAACTGCGGTATTCAAGTTGGTTGGAATTCATTTAACACCGAAAGTAGAGAAGTTGATATTAGAAAAGAAAGAACAAATAGAATACTTGGATCGATTTGAAACAGTGACAGACGAACTTTAAGCTGATTCGTCGCAACTGTTTGTATTCTTATTACCCTATGCCCATCCTTTTTCGTTTCGTATTTCTAATTTAACATAGACTTTTGTTATGGAGAATGAAATTTCTAAGACAGATAGGAACAAGTTTGTAAATTTGATATTTCAAGTTTCTTTCAGCGAGGTACAAGAGTCTAGATTAGAATTTCTGTACCTCAAATTGTACATCGATTTATCAATAATTTAATGTGTTAGGTGGAGACCTAACGGGATCCGGATATTCGAGGAGGAGAAGGTTGAGACAGGATGTAAATTGAATAAAAATAAATGAAACCCAATTTGGAATTTAAAGTGTGTTTATTCTACTGGGCGTATAACGCCCGATAATCCCCAAATTGTACACAAAATAATAAATTTGACTTCAAAATCAATTTAGAATATTATTATTGTATAGAATGAAGAGGTAAGTCTAAATCTCTACAGTTTTTACGTTTTCTTTTTAANATATACAGGGTGTCCCAGAACTAGTGTAAGATATTGAAATGGGAGGTTCCTGACGCAATTCTAAACAACATTTTCCTTTGCGAAAAAGTTGTCCGAGGGGTGGTTAAGGAGTTATTAATAAAAAACCCCGACCAATGAGAGCGCTCAGCTGGCGCGAGCTCCGGCTCGGGAGCGTTGGCTCGCGGCCGGACGCTTGGCTTTTGACGCGTGAACAAGCGCTCTGCTTAATACGAAGCGGTTTAAGAAAATAACGAATAATAAACTTTCACTTTTTCTTTTCGAACCCGTTTGAAATAAAAATAATCGTACAGTGCAGAGTATAAAGTAAAAGTGAAAAAGAAGACGTAAAATAGAAAGAATTAACAGTGAGAAAGGGACTGTGATCGCGGAAGGAAGAGAACAGCAAGTGCAGGTCATTGACCTGCTCTGAACATCAGCTGTGGCCGACCATCTGTTTTACCTACGAGCGGTAAAAATCGGTACTCTGACCCACTGACCATGATTCCTCGGAGCATGTGCTGCGGTTGAATGGGTATGTCTAATCTGTACAGTAAAATGTATTAATTGCTATTTATTTCCTTGCATTGTCATTCATGTAGTTTATTATTCGTTATTTTCTTAAACCGCTTCGTATTAAGCAGAGCGCTTGTTCACGCGTCAAAAGCCAAGAGTCCGGCCGCGAGCCAACGCTCCCGAGCCGGAGCTCGCGCCAGCTGAGCGCTCTCATTGGTCGGGGTTTTTTATTAATAACTCCTTAACCACCCCTCGGACAACTTTTTCGCAAAGGAAAATGTTGTTTAGAATTGCGTCAGGAACCTCCCATTTCAATATCTTACACTAGTTCTGGGACACCCTGTATATGGTCGAAGAGGGGAACACGCAAAACCATAGAGTTAGTATAGACTCTATGCGCAAAACCCGGCCGTGAGCACTGAGCACTCTCATTTCCTCTCTGGCAGCGTATATCCGGTACATGTGACTCCATCTGAAAACGTGTGATAGTCAGTAGAGAAGAAACAATCTGAACAGAAAAATGGTGGGCAGTGAAAATGATGATTTCGATCGTAAAGAAGTAGAGATCAGGGAAACAATGGATAATAATCAACAAAACGGAGAATTAGTTTCTGCGAGGAACAACGAGGAACGAGATGTGCGTCTAAACTTTTTTCTATTAAATCATCCTGTTCAATTTTTCTTGTCAAACACATTTATCTTGCTCTACTTGAAAGTAATGAATTTTCGTTTTGTATCAATGATTTTAACGTGGACTTGTACTCGATATACGTTAACCCGAAAGCTCATTCTGAATAAACGTCGAATCAAGTTATTTACACCTGCCATGAACGATCATTGTTTGCGATACACGTATAGTACGTGGAGATAGCCGCTGCAACCTGTTTTCTTCGATGACAATGATGATGTCGCACATTTTAATCATAATTTCATTCGTTCGTCCGTTTAATTCGTTCTTTTATTTGTACATATAGATAAACGCGGAAATTGACGAACAAAGGAGAAAATACCAACCAACGCGGCTGGAGTCGTTTTTTGCAATAACAAAATCGTTAATTATACGTGTCCTCATTATTTATTGTATCAGTCATCTGTTCAGACGGATTCAGACCGACTATTCTCCAACCTCCGGCGTTGCGAATCCAACGCATCAGCCGGCTGTAAATTTATTTAAGAACGGTACATTGTTCGATTTGCACGTTTACTTGTCAGAATCAGAGAATTTCGAGCAATTCGACGATCCAAGAAGTTTAATATGGTTGGAAAAAGGATTAATATACGGGGATTGGTACAGTGGACCAGATAAAGATGGATCGAAAGTGATGATTCATAAATTTACAGCGTCTGATCAATTAAAAAACAATGGATCCATATATCTTCACGTGTACGTTACAAAAACTGGGAAAACTCCCAATCCTAAATACTTGTATGCAGGAGCATCCATGTCGTATTCTAGAAAAATGTTGAATAAATTTAAAAAAATTCGATATCAGAGAAAGCATAATTTGTTGACTGGTGAGACGACAGCGACTAAAGAGGAGATCGAAGTACGTATACATCGTAAATCAATGATAGAACATACTCTACGATATATAAAAATGTTACAATTTACACTGTAGAAAGCTGAGTCGATGAACCAGGAATATGTATCTCACTGGCATCCAAATTTAACTGTTAATTTAGTAACGGATCAAACTAATTGGGTGTACGGTCAAGTATCGCCACCTTTAGATACATGTGAGTTACTTAGTCGCGTAAAATTAGTTTAACTGGTAAATAAATTCTATATACGCAAATCATTCTTGATTTCGACAGATATTCAGTTTTTGCCTGGCGAAAAATTTTACAAGCCTGTAATATATATGAACGATTTTTGGAATATGCAAAGAGACTATCAACCTTTGAACAATACTATAAAAGAGCTTGAACTTAGATTAACTTATCAGCCAATATCGTTGTTTAAATGGCAAATTTATGCAGCTCAAACAATGAGAAATAAATGGACATCTTCTCTCATGGGTACATGGTGTCGTTCACTAACGACAAACGATTTTAAAAGTCAGATTTTTTGATAATAATTCATTACAGGAGATTCTGTAGATGAAGATGATAACGATCAGGATACTTTGAAAGAAACGTTGTTGGAAACAAATCCCTATCTCTTGGGTCTTACTATAATTATATCGATATTACATAGCGTACTTGAATTTTTAGCATTTAAAAATGGTAAGAGTCGGTCTGCACTTTTAAAACATACAATACCGTTCGATCCAAAGAACGTTCAAAGATGTTACTATATATATATGTTTCCAGATATCCAATTCTGGAACAATCGTAATTCGTTGGAAGGACTTTCCGTTCGATCTGTATTCTTCAATGTGTTTCAATCACTCATCGTTTTGTTGTACGTTCTCGATAACGAGACGAACACGGTCGTTCGAATCAGCTGTGCCATTGGTTTATGTATAGAAATATGGAAAATTAACAAGGTGATAGATATCAGTGTCGACAAAAGTTCGAAGGTACTCGGTATCTTTCCAAAAATAACTTTCCACGACAAAGGATCGTACGTAGAATCTTCCACGAAGGAGTACGATAGACTAGCTTTCAAGTATCTATCTTGGACCCTTTTCCCTCTTCTGGGTGGATACGCGATCTACTCGTTAATGTATTTGGAACATAAAGGATGGTATTCCTGGGTTCTCAGTATGCTCTACGGGTTCTTATTAACGTTCGGATTCATTATGATGACGCCACAATTATTTATTAATTATAAAATGAAAAGCGTCGCGCATCTTCCGTGGCGTATGATGTCTTATAAATTCATAAATACCTTTATCGACGACATGTTCGCATTTGTTATAAAAATGCCGACGTTATACAGAATTGGTTGCTTCCGCGATGACATAGTTTTCTTCATATTTTTATACCAAAGATGGATATACAAAACTGATCATACTAGAGTAAATGAATTCGGTTTCTCTGGCGAGATGGAAGCTAAGTTAGCCAGCGAGAAGAAACGAGAAGCTATTAAAGACTGTCCAAAAAAAGAGGCAGATAAAAAGAACGAGTAACGTCTGGTACATAATAATTAGCATTTGAATGTATTATTCGATCTTAAATTAATAAATTTATTAGTACCAAAGGACTACTATACTACACACGTTAATGTGTACCTTTGTCAGTTTCATAATAACTACGTCGGTGTGCATGTACATATATTTTTTTCTCGTTTAAAACATCTAGCAGCTGTTCTAGCCGAAGCTTCACAATTGCGTTGATATGCTCGGGGGCAGGAATGTCCGTTACACCAGAGAAATATGCAGAAAAAGTTATAGTATAATTGTATAAATCAGTGTAGGGAAGCTTTGTTTTTAATATCGCATCGACTATCGATGCTCCGTAACGATTCTCGTCCTTTTGTACCAGTTTTGTTTCGGCATTTAACAAATATTTGCAATCGGGATTTATTCATACGGGTGTAAATGAAACAATCTGGACTACATATACACATGTGCATACAATATATATTGACGAGTAGTTTAAATAAAAATAGTATTATATTTTATATATGTATATCGTGTTTTTACGTAGCGTATATCTACGTTTACCTTTATTATACTTACGTATATGTATCTCGAACGTCGCGTTGTTTCGTTCAGAGAATTCTCTAAACAAATTCACGTAATGCATAAGTGAACAAACTGTGCTCGCTCTTAGTCGAATTACTGTTTTAATAAATCAATGTCTTCAACGACCACTTTGTCGTGATTACCAAAAGTGAAGAGTGAATAAAAAGACGAGACGAATAAAATGAAATTTTATTGACTCTTTATACAATTTATACTGGTTTCAAGTGTAATATTATTATATATAATATTAATTCTTGTCTTGCTTTTCATAAAGAGAACTCTCTATAGCCTCGGTAGTAAACTGTGACAATAATTTATGTACGTTATCCGAAATATCTAATTTCACGTGACAGGAAGAGGCAAAGTAGCAATGGTCAAGATCTAATTTCCTTTTGTATAAATATTCCTGCGAACGTAACAACAGAGATTTATGAACCATCTTAAGTACAAATTATATTATATGTACAGTGTCTATAATATGCTAAAAAAATACAATTATTTTCGTGCGAAGAGATTGCTTCTTCAGTTTTTGTTTAGTGCCATACCAGCTGTACGTTAGATAGATGATTTCACGAAGTTCAGTACGATGATAAGACAGAAAATAGCAGTTCACACACAGACAGGTGTCGATTAATTTTTCTCTATACTCATTCACAGATTGCATGGCACTAGCAAAATTTATTACCTCGTTTTTGCTTAGCATATACAGAGTACAATATGTCTCGTTTATAATATCAGAAATAGAACATTAAATAATAGGAACAGAACCCAAAAAGGATTGTTTTATAAAAATGTTACTTTTTAATTTTTTTCAAGTGCATAAATATCGGTGTAAAGTACATACGTAGCACACAAACATACATATTCAACAGACTGTACCGGTTTGAATAACAACTTTTTTTTTTAAAAGACGAGTTAAAAACAGAACGCAAATAATACTATAAATATACGTATACATGTGATGTTGCAATAAAAAGTAAAAAAAAACGTAATGAACACAATAAAAAGTTTCATGGAGATAAAACTAAAAAATACTGTAGTATTTTGTACGTTGCTTAAATTTCGTACTTCGTGTGAGCCCGTGATGTTTCGTTTTTACTTCTTTTTTTAAATTATTAAAACAATGTGTGTACACGTTTAAAAACTTATGTTACTCGGCAAGAGATCATGCCGCTAAAATGGCAGTACTTTACGTATGGGCTGTGCTCGATATTATTCAAATATAAGACTCGATTGAGAATTGTTTCCCTACGAAAAATGTTTTTGATTCATCCAGGGCTAAGCATATGTATTTAGAGTTTCCTAAGTAGTAAACGAATTGCTGCTATATATACTTTCCTTTTACTTATAATTTCTTGCCGGATTATTTTATCGTGATTTAAAAATGATCATCGTTTCTTTTATTGCTTGTACAGTGTGTTCGTCGTGATATTCGTAGTATCACACGTTTTTAGGGTGCAAGGCCTGCATCTTTAGCTATACTGTTAAACAAACTAGACGTGTCGCGTAGTAATTTATCAGGAGAATCGTATTCCATGATACGCCCATTATCCAGGACAATGACCCTGTGAAATAATTTCGACATTTAATGACACAATCCTTTTCATCGCCGCGTCACAGTTTTATATAAGACGTACCTGTCCGAATCAAGAATCGTATTGAGCCTATGAGCTATTGTAAGTACTGTGCAATCCCCGAATTCTTGCCTGATCGTCGTCTGGATTAAATCGTCTGTTTCTAAATCAACCGAGGCTGTCGCCTCGTCGAGTATTAATACTTTAGTTTTTCGTAGCAACGCTCTTGCTAAACATATCAACTGCCGTTGACCGATACTCAAATTCTCTCCTCCTTCGGACACTTCGTGTAAGAGGGCAGCCGGTAACCCTGACAGAATCCGAGACACGTTATAATTTTCACACTTGTACAACTTGACAACAGTATTCAATTAGAAAGATCGTGTACACTCACCCTTTACGAAAGTTTTAAGATGCGCGTGTTCCAAAGCTCTCCAAATTTCGTCGTCAGTATGATTTTGAAAAGGATCTAAATTCATTCTCAAAGTTCCAGAGAACAATACTGGATCTTGAGGAATGATAGTTAATCTGGACCTAAGATCGTGAAGTCCCAATTTCGAAATATCAATACCGTCGATGAATATCTTTCCGTCAGCTGCTTCTATTATTCTAAACAGGCCTAACGTCAAAGACGATTTCCCGGCACCGGTTCTACCGACGATGCCGACTTTCGTTCCACCTTCGACGGCAAATGATACTCCCCGCAGTACAAGCTCCAAGCCTTCCCTGTAACGGACTTTGTAATCCTTGAACTCGACTTTCCCTTCAACAGGCCATTCTTTCGGTGGTCCGAAATCCGGATTTTTCCATGCTGCCTCTTGAGGAGTTTCCCCGTACTCTTTTATTCTTTCCACTGCAACGATATTGGTTTCAACGTCGGAGGTCATACGTACCAGCCAATTTAACGTTTGAGTGACCTGGCGTAGTAATTTAATTCTCATTAAACATCGTCCCGAAAATAGATCACACGTTCGTTCGTTATATTTGAAACTTTTCATCTTACTTGTAACGCATAACTGACGGATAGACCGACTATACCAGATTCTATCGTATCTCTATTTAATACAGCGAACAGTGCAGAAAAGAAGATAATTAAATTTCCAACCATCTCTAAACGCACTGCTAACCACCTGTAATAAAATAAGGAATAAATGTTATTACGTCGATCCTAACGTGGCGCACCACTCTCGATCAAAAAACGATTCATACCTGTTTGCAATTATACTTGGATAGTAGCATACTTGATTAAAATCTACTTTACTCTCCGATTCTTTGATGAATCGTTCTTGCACCTTAAACGCCCTAATCATTTGTGCTCCTGATGGATAGAAGAATCAGATTTTTACAATGATAATACGAGAGACGTGTTAGTCATAATTCATTGACGATGGAATTTTACGTACCAGAAACAGTTTCACTGAAGTGCGAATAAATGGGGGATCTTGAAACGGACTCTAAACGTTTCAACTGTCTTGACGATGCAACGTACATACGTTGAACGAGGTAATAGATTATACCTATCGGTAATATTACCGCAATAAACAGTGGAGTACTAAAACTTATTACCACTAGGGTAGCAAGCACCTGTAATAAACATGAATATAACATACTCGGATGTGGAGAGAATCGGCTCGTACAGAAACGAAAACGCAAGAACGACGTACAACAGAAAATAGATGACCACATATACACGTAAAGAAATATATAATAATATAAATGCAACAGTATAAATCAACTTCGAGAATCAAATAATCGACGACGAATCAATGAGCATGCACTGTTGTCAAGTGAAACACCCATCACCTATATTTCTAAACACCAATATAAAATTGAACACACAGATCTAATCGTTGAAAGTAATTAATGCTCGCGCCCCGCGCGCAATCTCCTATCATTCACCGCAGGCACAGACTTTCCTTTATATTCGCTACTAATTGTAACATAGAATTACCATTTATTTAAATGGACACAATTATACTCGATGTCAGCTTATACCAGAAACTGTGTATGTATTCTAAAATTGAATTGATTTAATAAGGAACCGATTTACGACGTATCGTTTCACAGTTAAACTCTATATAAAATGGACCAAGTATTCGTTGTATCAAAGTAGCATCGACTCTTTGACGAAATGGAAATATGAAAATCCAATAAATTATGAATTGATGGAACTATACAAAGGAAATAATAACAGCCAGTCGCCTCAAAATTGGCTCAGAATTCATTCCGATGGATTTACCTCAAACAAACAATAGATGCTATCAGAAATTTGCTGAGGAAGAGATGTGTCCAGCACGTCGATGTCTTTAGCAAACCTGGCGATGACACGACCAGTAGGAGTCGTGTCAAAGAACGTCAACGGAGCACGCATCACAGAACGCAGCATCACAATGTGCATCTGGCGAGCAGCCAGCCAGCAACCCAGCTGCGGTGCCAAATCGCAGAAAAAACTCGCGATCGCTACAACATCAGACATGATTTCTTTTCATTGTAACTATCTTCTGTAACAAAATTCTGTGGGGCACAAACATGCCGAAGTTCAAAAGAGATCTAAGGCATTCATGTCAGTCGCCCCTCCATTCGATACTCCGACAGAGAACAAAGTAGTCGTTCATAACGTTAGAAGTCCTCTTCTACGACTTTTAACAGTTACAGATTGACGATGAATCAAAAATATGCAGGAATCAGACTCTGTCTCATGTTATTACGAGGTAGTGAAGTTTGCTGTGGACAGACATGCAAGCCACGAATCAACAGGTCAATGCATATAGGAAAATCAGAGACATTCAACACTTGGATATGTACAGAACAACGGTGAATGCGTACTACGTTCAGGCACAAGCAATATTTCCCTCTTACTACTCAAGTATAAAAGTATGGTCGTATAATTGTGTCCATCACCTTACTAAATACGATTGTACCATTATACCGTAGCTCTCTACTACTACTACTAATAAATCATTGCATAGATAGTTTATAGAATATTACTCAAGCCCTTCAGACATGGAAGTTATTTGGAGTACACGTACATTACGGGTAGATTAATGAATAAAATAATTATGATTCAAAAGCTTTCAAGTTACCGCTTAGTACATGCAATTATTTGTAACTCTTTTTTTTTTCTTCTGTTTCTTCCTTCCGAAGCTGATATTCTTCAATGTGACAAATTTACAATACTAAGAGCAGTATAATCGAGTATAAATGATCAGAGTAATCGCGCGTTAAGTGACACACAAACTTAATTTATAATTTCTGTAACGTGAGTCAAGTATTTTCTGAAGCACAATGTTTTACAACATGAAAGTATATCATACCCCCAAAAGGCAAGTAATCCAAGAACGCAGTATTAATGGTAGCGCATTATCAATGACATCGGTGTCTTTAGAGAGTCGGCTAAGAATTCGACCGGTGGGTGTTTTGTCAAAGAACGACATCGGATTCCGGAGAACACGTTGCAACGTATTCTCGAAGAGTTGCGCGGAAGAGCGTATCGTTCCCTTTGCCAAGAATAACCCACCTCCAAGTACTGTCAGGCCTACAACGATCGGTGATATCTTTCATGTATCATTAAATCCGACATTTACAACATCAGAGTTGCATCGGTACTTGCATTAGTTGTACTATACACATATTATTAGAGATAAAAGTACAGACTATCAATGGTAATAATGTCGTTTTTCGTTATCGTTATTTCTCCAACGTAACGTGCAAGTTCCTTTCCGCAGTCACACATGTATTGAGATGCATTGAAACTATTATTGATCGTTATCAAATATTAAAACATAAATAATGTGTGTCTTATCTAAATTTGCTTTTCTGTATAAACAAGCAATACAGGTTGATTACATGAATCGATAAACATGCTATGCGTATGTTATTATCGTTAGTGTTGTCTGCCCATTCCGTGAGATATGCCCCTTAATGTCAAGTCTTCGCTCTGTCGCTTTTTCAACTGGTTTCCTCTTTTTCCTCATAAATTAAAAATTTGCATATTTCTTCATTTGCTCAGAAAACGATTAGGTGACAATGTATCATAAATTATCTTTTTTCTGAAACGACTGTGTGACATCAAACGGAATTTGTCTCAGGCATTTGACAACGATTATTATGAAGTAATGTTAAACGAAACACATACATATATATGTTACATCGAATGACACAGACGGTCGAATCGTCGTATGATTTTACCAAACACCGTGATAGAGTGATGATGTGAACGACATAAAATTTGTACCTTGAGAGCTCGGGTGATAAGTTTTGTTATCTCGTTACATCATGCCCAAATATATTATGTACAAACGTTGCAGCTTTTGCATACACGTGAATAGAATAAATAGCGAGTGAAAATAATTGAATACATGCGGCATGAAAATAATTACTGTTGAACGATAAAAATAATTGCGCTTAAACATATATCTCTACGAAGCTGTAACGTACTCATGAATCTATATATAGTATCGACACAGCAAACCGCACTCCCGCTAGCATCGTAGCATACATATATAAATGAAATATCTTATATGGTTTCAATAAATTTGGTTTTGGTTGAATTTAGACCGTAAAGAAAATCGTTCGGGAACAAAGTAATAATTATAAGTCTCTCAAAACTGTGTAATCTGTGAAGGAACATGCTTCTCAATTAATTAGAAATTGATCAGTCGCTATAATATCTCTGATGAGGTTCAGGAAACTAAGCTTACCTCTGCAGTTAGTCTTTCATAAAATCCTAATTCTAGAAACTAAGTGTAAAAGTTCTATTACGTTGAACTACACGGAAATGTACATTTTTTTTTAGAAACGTACCTTGTACAAGTCCGAGCCCACCATAGACGCCCAGATACATATCTTGCCTGGATTTATCGAACGTATTGTTGGCGTCGGTCAAGTTATCGTTCGACCATACACTCAGCCAAGAATTTGAACCAATGCTGAATCCTTGAAACATGGCGTTCATTACGATGGTCATTACTGATAAAAACCATCCGATCGATTTGAAGTAATAAGAATAGACACGCCATTTCACCTTAACGATGGAAACGATAAAAATGTTAACAATACGGTTGACACTTGTTTCACGAAACGAAATGGACCGCAACTTACACTGCCGATTTCGGTTTTCTCCACTTCTATCAATTTCTCGCCTGCCTTAGGTTGCGTCAACGACAATTCTTTCATACTTTTATAATTAAGTTGTTGGCTATCCGTAGAATACTGCCTAAAAGATTTTCAAAAGTACATCCGAATGAGAAAGAAACGTTGTTACATGAACATTACACAAATTATATGTATCTAATTAATTTACCGTTTTAATGAACCATTCACGGATCTTCTATCGGCTATAGAACCGGATTCACTTTGGCTCTCAGACGTTCTCGATTTACCTCTTGCCAATTTCTGTTGTAATTCAGCAGGCCCTATCGTAGATTCTAATTGTTGTTTAATTTCTTGCAAGTCTGCTTCCGCTTCCTCTTGATCGTGTACAGCTTTAAATGCGTTAAGAAAAACAATGTAAGCCAACGCGTATTATAACACGTATCAAACGAACAAATTACAGCGTAAGATCAAAAAATAATAAGATGCAGTTGTACATAAAAATGTAAATAACGAAACTATGATTAGTTGATTTCTGTAAGTCTCTGATCGAAAGTTAACATGCGTCGTACAGGAATACTTGGAATTTCATGTATACTGTCGATTCGTTGCATTTATAGTTGTAAGTACAAATTCATAGTTGCCCCAATAATTTTTTGCTTTTGAATCATCGCAACGAATGTACAATATTAGTTTCTCTTGGACAAAAGTAATTACACTACCGAAATAGTACTAAAAAACTAACGGTGTTACTTCGTGTACTAAGCTGGCTGATAAGTTTTTATAATAGCAAATCGCAAAGAATACTAACATCCTTCATACTCTAATATCACAAGCCAAATGCAATATAAACCATTTTCTGGACAATCACACAAATTGAAGTAGGAAAAGGAATCGTAATTACTTTTTTCACTGACTTACGATTTCCAACTTAGATTCATGAAAAATATAATTAAAAATTAATATAGATCCCCCGATCGATAGAACCGGGCACGCGCGCGAAAGTTCGGGGAACCGATACATACCTTCTTGAAGATGTTGAACTAAAAATTCAGAAAAGGCTCCCCTTTTCTCTAGAAGTTGCTTGTAAGTTCCAACTTCTGTTATTTCGCCATCTTTAAGAACAATGATGTTATCAACTTCTGGTAAATAAGTAATACCATGGGTGACTAATAGTCTCGTTTTTTTCTTAAGCAGACCACTAGAGCCAATTACATTTTCGAATATATGTTTTCCGACATGCGAATCGACTGCACTCAACGGGTCATCCAGAAAATAGATATCAGAGTCACTGTACACTGCTCTTGCCAATGCTACTCTCTGTTTCTGTCCGCCGGATAAATTTATACCCTTTTCACCGATCTCAGTTTGATCGCCCGCGGGTAGGATTTTCAAGTCTGGATTTAACGCGCACGACTCGACCACGCGGTTGTATACATTTTTGTTCAATGTTTTTCCGAACAATATATTATCTTGCAGCGACGCATTTTGAATCCATGCTTGTTGAGAGACATATGCGATGGAACCCTGTTGCATGCGAGACAAACATTAGTATCTTGGATTAGTATCTCGTATGTTTCCGTCATACGTTCAATCTCATCACCTCATTTTATCGTTCAAACAAAAGTATATGCTCTTACTCTCGTATTGACTCTGCCACTTATTTTGTCCATCTCTCCGAGAAGCGCCGATACAAGGGAACTTTTCCCTGATCCTACGGTCCCAACGACAGCTATCAACTGGCCTTGTTCCACTTGGAGATTGATATTCTTCAGCGTTGGCCTATCGATACTTTCCAAATCCCACGCGAAAGTGCCATTCTCAATTAATAACGCACATGCTAAATTCAATTAATACGACGCATTTACATAATATTCCCAATGTCTAACGCCTGTACTTTAATTATTAATAGCTTACGTTCTGATGGATCGTGTTGCACGTTATTTGGATCCAACTCTTCTACGTTCATGAATTTGTCAATACGTTTCACAGAGACCCAAGTCTACACGTATTATACACATTGTATCAGAATGTTTGAACGATGTTTTATATGTTTCAATTAAATAAAAGATTTCTTTATTTACCTGGACCATGTTACTGATCATCATAGGTAGCATAGACAGAGGAAACCTTAAGATATTGAAAAGACTGAGCGAAACAAAAGCAACGGTGCTGTCTAAGCGATTGTTCTCGTCTATAAGTACATACGTCGCGAAAGATACCAGCGATACCTATTATAATTATAAACAAACGAAACCAATGAAAATAAGCAAGATAGTCGTATCCGTTGAAAGAATTTTATTTGAAAAACTTACTAAAAACGGGCTGAAAGACCAGATGAAACTTGTCTCAGCATTGAGGTACGCCGTTTCCTTAAGTACTTTCATTTCTTTCGTACGTATCCTCAATATTTGTTCCTCGAACGATGGTTCCCACGCGTACAACTTTAGTACTTTTATGCCGTTAAGTACTTCGTTCATCAGTTTAACTCTCTCATCCTTGAACTTCATTTGTTTAGTTTGTAACGTCTTAACTCTATTTGTTATCAACAAGTTTATCGGAATCAGAATAAGTAAAACGGCCAGACCAGCGAGCACGGCCGGCCCTAGTATGCCCCACAGAAAATACAGTGCTAAAGCTATTTGCAACGGTGCGGACCAAATCGTGTTTATATACGCCATTAAATCCATAAATCTTTGTGCGTCCACCGACATCAGGTTCACTATCTCGCCGACTGTCGACTCCTTTCTAGCGGCGTTAGACATTCTCAATGCTTTTCGGTAAATCGCTGCGATTAACGCAGTCCGCGCCCGTAATCCGACCAACATCATACGGTGAAAATATTGTGACAAAATTAACGTTTGAAGCGTAGCTGTGATCAGTAGCAGAACCGCGTAGAAATAACCTTTCCACAGTGGTTCGCGACCCTCAATGAAAGCGATAAGTAATCTGAATTAAAGATTACACGTTTAAATATAACATTTAATTATAATTCTGCCCTGTAGAAATTTTCGTTTCACTCACTTCAGTATCTGGGGACTAGCAAAAATGATAATATCCTGCACGGCTTTAAGTAACGATCCGAATAAGAATGTAGCACCAAAAGCTTTGCAAAGAGGTGGCAAAACCGATTGCAATTTCTTCTTTTGTCCGCTATTAAAATCTACTTGACCAGATGCCTTCCTGAATGACGCCTTGGTACTCTGAACGCTAAGCACACGACAAAAATTACGCTTATATTCCTTGCGTCGAGTCACGTAAATAATTTAATTAACTTACCTAAGATAATTCCAAAATACTCTTGTTAGCAAAAGTACATTGATGTCTTATTACTAATGTAACGCAATTTTTCTGCTACTTTCTTTATCAATTCTACTACTTTAGTATAAACTCTATAGTCGAACGTTCATAAATATCACACTCACTTATTGTTCTTCTGCAAACTCTTATTCCAATATTTATCGAATTTCGGTACAATTTCTTTAGCCGTGTCTTCCGGGTTCATGGACCACAGATGTGATGGTTCCAAAGGATTCTTAAAACCTTTCCAAGCCATAGAATCGAACCATGTGTAAAAGATTCTTGCTGGAAAAGAGCAGCTCTGCTCTGGACACAATCTTTCGACCTGTAGACACATCAAACAGATCACGTTACTCTTTAACGTCTTTCATAGTGGGATACAATTACATTAGAAGTAAAAATAGAGATTTAAATACCTTGGGATATTCAGAATATTTAGGCTCAGCGTCGACAAAGAAATTCAAAAAGAACAACAGTACCACTATTGGATAGTATATCATGTATGATACAAAGTAATACATGGAAGTAACTTCGCCCTGTGAGTAAATCGCATACAAAGAAAGATATTATTCCATTTTCTTATTATTCCTATATCTCATTCGAACATACCTTATTTATATATAACCTCAGTAAACTTCTATATTGAACAACTCCGCATACAACGAGAAGAAACCAAAATAAGAATAATAGTCCAGAAGATCGTATCCCATATTTCTTATTATATATTACTAAAATAACTGTTACAATCTGGAAACGGGGCAATGGTATTTATTACTATCATGGATAAACGTTTCTTCTTCAAAGATCTGATAAATAACACTTACAAAGGTAACAATCTTTATAAACGGTGTGTAATAATCAACATTACTAACAGTTTCGTAAGAACTGTTATGTACAGCGTATCCTAAGTCAACAATACTAAGTAAAATCAGGGCTCCTATAAGTACTAGTTTGGTTACAGACAACCATGTGTATGGAATATTTCTGTTTTTGCTATTTAAAAAATAATAAACTTCTATCGCAGAAAATAGCCATAGGAACGCGCATGGCACCCATATCAACACGGTTTTCTGAAAACATTCTGTGATATCTGGATCCTCTGTATTCCATGTTAAATTGTTATCCTACAACGAAAAAACGTATGCAATACAGCATTTTTGTTCTTGTGGTTCAGTTATCAGTTTTACTGCAGACTTAATCGAGTCATTAGTCAGACTATCGCTCTGTGTAAGGCACAGTGTATAAGTTCAACTATTGTTAAATAACAAATTGTTTCAATAAAATACAATTGATACAAAAATAAAATTGTATCCTTGTTGCGCTCGTTGTATTGTTAAGTAGCACGATCTGCATTTGGCTCGAACATGTTGTAACGATCTAGACAAATTATAGAAGGCATAAGTGAAACGTGTTCTTACCCAGAACTTGGAATTATTGCCGCAAAACTGATCCATAGCTAAATCTTTCACAAAAATACATGTACAACCTCACTGTTCTTCTTGTACGTATATTCGTGGAGCATTAATCGCGTTTTCGTCTTAGTTTTGTTGAACAAAATAAGGCCCACACCGCGTAACAGATACAATTATCTTCCGTGAGTGATCGAACTCGATGGTGAGACACTGAATCGCAGAAACGAGCAATTGTTACGTTACATGATATATCGCAAAGACGATGCAATGTCTGGTGGTAAGCCGAGACTCCGTCCAGAGTCGTTGCTTTCACAAGCAAAAGTAAACTGTTCTGTGTCCGAAACGAAACGGTTTCACATTTATAACATTGTTGGCTTATTTGCCCAATCAAGATGAATTACGTCATGTCCACCCCCCTCCCTCTTTACACACAACACATGCGTGCGATTCTGAAATAACGGTTTAATATTTAAAACTTGCTGGGCTGCGAATAAGAAAAACCGATAAAATGAAAATATATATATATAGATCCGTGGAATTTCTAATTGTGACCAGTGTCACGTTATTAACGGGACAGCGTGTTTAAAAATACGACATATTATACATTACACTTTAATCACCATATAAGGATATTCGATTGTATAGATTGCGGGGTAACAATCTGTCTGTTTCTTGTGCACGGTCATCGTCCAATTGTTTTCTAAAAACCTCATCGATTTCTTCTTGTATCCTTTGTCCTCCACACTGTATATAAGGTTCATATAAATTTTCTAACACGATCTCATATCGTATCTCCTATCGTTGTTTGCACGATTCTTATTATGCATGCGCACGAATAGATATACCCGTACGATCTATTCGCCTATCGAAACGAATACATTAGTCCTTTTAACCGTAATTTTTTATACGATAATCAATGTCACGTTATTCCTACAAGATGCCTAGAAGAAGAAATCTATTTCTGTCCTTGGTCTAGTACCGGTTTATAATTGCAACAAGTTAAAAATGTTCATAGTCATCCACCTCGTCGCTGTGAAAATTACTGAAGTAAAGTTGTCAGATTAATTACTCGCGACCGTTGTCCGCACGAGATTATCGAGATGAGTCTGCATGTAACAATTACCGGAAAAGCTAATTATATTAAGAATTGGACACCTGAAACAAATATTTCGCAACTAATTGAAATATTAAATTGCAATTCACGTTAAAGATAATTATTTCGTATTGTGCAAAAGCAATCAATTACTCCTTAAATCTGACACATACGGCTCTTATTCTGTATCATCATTTCGTAAGACTTTATCTGAACGCTACAAACTGACCGTGACAATGACGCAGCTAAATTTCGACGTTGATACGCGTGACGATAACAGTAATGAAAAGGTACTTCAACTTTTGTTCTATGCTGTACGCATATGTGTGTTAGATAATATTTGCACGTGTGTATATATATATACATAGAAATATTACTCTTTTCTGTGTTTATCATTTAATTACATTTGAAGCCTTAATGTGTAAGGAGATGATCGTAAATGATTGTTATTTTTTTATAACAGACACTTAAAATGTTTAAGCTAATCCAAAATGCTATTCCGAGACCTTGAGCACATCGAGAAGAATGATTTAAATCAATCAATTTGACCCCAATTTTAGTCGTCAATGAATACGTTACGCACAAACACACCAATACAGACGAAATGAGAGGAAAAGGAAGGAGTGATACCACATTGTGTAATTGTTGTACATATCTAAATACATTGTATGCAATCTGCTCATCTTTATATTCTATCTATTCTTTTCATTGTTCCTGGAAACCAATCACAGTTGCATACATACACTCTGTGAATTATATTAATTATCGTAATAAACTGAAAGAAATAAAACATACCACTATCGTATGTACATATATTTCTTGTTCATAGATTCGTTTGCAGCTTAACATTTATTACACTTGATAAGTTTGAGTACTACTAAATAAGAGCGTTAATAATTCTGGATCGGTCAAATTTTTTCTGTACTTCTGAACCATTTCCTGTATTTTCAAGCGTCTGCGTACGTGTGGTGGATGATAACTGCACAAAACATCGTGGCTATTAAACTGATTATGATCTGATTATGATCTAATAATTATCTACAAGTCAACAGACCTGTCGTTGTCGAGCCTTTTTCTACGTCCCATGTTTAACGCTGTTTGTCTAACGAGGGTTCCTAGTACCCTTCTAGATACGACCATCCCATCGATTAAGGGAGTGGCTAAATTAATTCTAGAAACTGGGCCTTGTAATCTGATTCGCATCAGTCCACTACTAAGAGCTTGAACGAAAATTACTTGTACGTCAGATACCTGAATCACCCTGGATTGTTCGAGCCCGGTACAAGTACAAGGAAGTAGATCACCTGCGCGTGAAGCATGATTTGTAAAATTCTCCTGATTTCGTCAAAGCGAATATATGTGTTTAAAGGATAATACCAATTGGAAATTGTGCATAATCTTCTAAACTTTCTAACCAGACGACCATGATTTTAATGTCGGTCTGTACAGTTAAAACTTGCTTTGCCGATTTCCTCGGTTTAACTAGATCCACGCTAGGATTAGATCCTGTTAAACTGGGCGGCTGTTTTTCCAAGTCGAGCGACATCGTTCGTGAGCTTTGCATCGCACTCTGCCCCCCGCCGCTGTTTCGAGAAGAAATACTTTCGCTGATAGTTCTTTCGAACCAAACTAGAAATATTCACATTGTTAATAACACAGCATTTTCGTTTGTATCGAACGTTTACCTTGATTGGAACTAGTATCGCTGCCGTAACTCGTTTCTTCTAACGAATCCGAGTTCACCATGTTGTTTAATTGAGTCGGTACGACAAATGCAATTTCTGAACTGACGTCTGCCCAGTAAAGCACGTGAGTATCACCATTATAAAGAGCTCCACCATGGTCGCTGTGAGCAGGCTGCGGTACGTTCAACTGTTGCGTTACCCTCCACGAGGTAGAGACATGACCGGTCCAACCGGCATGTGCCGATACAGAAACTGGCCAGCCAAGAGAATTCAAGAATTCTAAGAAGTTCGAGGATACGTTCGAATCGTGCAGCTGTAAAAATAAATATAGTTTAGATAAGACGATAAGATATTCTGAAGAAAATAGTAATTACCACGTTGGACAGTATTTCCGCAGAAGTTTTCTGGCCAGCTTTTACATAAAAAACGTATACGGTATCGCACGTTCTTGGACTGATATTATCTAAAGTCTCTAAATCTGAGCAGAATCCTGGAATGGTCGGATCTAAGGCAGTGAGCCCGCTGCTCCTAGACTCGTCGTCTTCCTTCGGTTCCATGTTCAGAAATCCGAAGTGGCTTAAAAATAGACGAGCAGTTTGAAACTCGTGACAAATGTGAGGTGGCGTACATTCCTCTGTCTTCTCGTCCGATACTTTCTCATTCCCATCGCAATACTTCGCTTCAATGTTCATTTGACGTTCCAACAGCTGTGACAAAATTTGATGCTCGTTTCTCACCAAATCGTTGTCGTTCATAACTGCTTCCAAGCTCGGAATCGATTCGTCCCTGAAAACGTTTTACCATTCCTGTTCATTTCTTAATCCAGTCACCAGTGAAAACTTGAATACGAATCGACGTACACTTTACAATGCGGTATTCGATCCACGTTATCGGGAAAGAATCTGGGCTTGTAATCTGTGCGCGGAGCAGCTTCCGCCAACGGTAACGGTCGACCAGGATTGGTGTTGACGCTTCTTATACTAGATCTGTGCCTCGGCAGATGTCGAAGTTGCATCGTCCACGCGTGTCTACCGAACGGGCCACGTATCAATACGGTCACGGTCGGTTGTGGATCCTGATCGTTTCCAAGAGGTTCTTCGAGTAAAGCCAATAGAGTGGCATTCTCGGCTACGAAGTATCGAAATCTTTCGACCGCCGCTTGCCGCATGACTCGACCTCCGGTCCAGCTGTTGCAGTGCCGGAGAAGCGATACTTCGTCCAATAGAGACGATAGTGACTGCGCCCCGCACGCACTAGGGAAATAGCCTACCTATAAACGAATTCGTTCGTTTCATATAATTTGCCCAAATCTAATGTCTTTCAATCGTGTATCGTTTAATGTGTACTTGTTCTAAAATGACTGTGAGAAGAGCATCGGCAGCGTCTCTGACGCGCATAGACGCTGGTTTCAATTCCTTCTCGTCTTTCATCTTGATGGGTTCACCAGGCTTCCCCACGCTTTTGGTTCCCGATACTCCAAGCTCGACCACCTCTAAAACCGTCGTTAAACAATCCTTATCCTGGAAAAAGAATTCTAGTTATCAATTCATTACGGAGACAATAAAACGATACACATAGATGTAGTAATAACTTGTAGAAGCTGTGGATGCGCAGTCAACCAGGTTGTTAAACAACTAAATGCAGCAACGATAGACGAATGTAGATCTTTCGAATGAGCTGGAGGTGGGCGCCAACATTGATACGCGATGTAATCACAGAGCCACTTTACAGCACGTTTACATTCCAAAGCGTCTGTAATTGTTACGTGAAATTAGTAATCCGATTGAATTTCGAAGTATAAGAAGTTACATTCAAATATAATTCAACCTGTAAGCTTCCTCGCTGCATGTAAAATAATTCGGATCGTATAAATTGTATTCTCTAAGATCAGATCGCTGTATATTTTTACCTGTTTCACGAATACGCGTCCTGGCCAGTCCTGACAATATTTCAAGAGCTGCTAAGGAAATATTTAAGTCTGTCTTCCAGGATGATATCAGTCTGTGACAAACTAGATACGTCGCCCTCACGAAGAGAGCGTGAGCCGAATCTGTAACAATAATGCGTACCTCTAACTATTACGCGATTCATCGTTCCTTTCACAGGCACAATATACTATGTACGTAGATGAGAGATCTTTTGAAAGGCAAGCTTTTGCGCAATGTTATCAAAGAAGCTCGAACGTGTAACAAAAGTGTATATGAAAAATACTTGTATTTACCAAACGCGATACATTCCTCTTGAAGAGTTGTAATATCAGAGGTTTCGCCGAGTGAACGTTGATCGCTGGATATGCTTATCTGACTGGCAGAATCACTGGTGACTATATCAAGCAATGATGAAACGGTACAATGGTGAATGCATAACGAAACACAACTTATAATAAGGAAAAATAAACGTATTACAAAAGCAGGCAGAAAGCAAATACGAATAATATAAAATAACACTGAGCATCATGACTTCACGACATTGCATACCAGGCTGAATTACTCAATTTTCATTTACAAGCAACTGGTAGATATTAATGTAAATTGATTCTCTTCAAATAATGTAATATTTACTCGAGCTACTATTACTGAAACCGGATGCAATTTTCAATTACTTCTTAAAATCAAGTCAATCCAACTTTTAACGAAATTTAAAACGTGGCATCCAACAGATTAATAGATTCAGTTTGATATAATTTAAATAACACGCGTAATGTAACAAACCTGACGATAATAAATTGACAGTGGTATCGTGTGCTATAGTGTCAGGTTGTGTAACTTGTTCGACTTCCTCTGCCGCCGCCGAATCTTGGACGCTCAATAAAAGCGCACCTACGAAAAAGAGTGGTGAATCGCAACGGTGCAATGCGCGTATATCGAGTGTTCGACTCACCTAACAACATATGAGTATTCTGAGGATCAGTTTCAACTTGCAACGCGTTTATGAGCAGGTTCATCAGCCTCGATTTTAATTGTGTAAACGTTATATGATTCTTTTCGGTTATCATTAGATTCGTAAACGTTGGAAGTTCCTTGATAGTCAGATTCTATAAAATAGGAATTAGATCAATTTTACTTTGTTTTACGCACTCGAAATATAACGCGTACGCGTATTAATTACTTGGAAATGTAGAGGCAATGCCAAGATTGATATTAACAAATGAATGGATGCTCTTCGCAACTCCGGCTTCGAGACCACATTAGACTTAAGCTTCAAATCTTTCTCCGGGAGTACCGTTTCTAACGCCGAGATCACAGCTGGTACTAACACTTGCACGCCGTTTAAATCGAGACGAAATAAATCGGCAGAATTCAACAGAATGCTCGCCAACGTTTCACCACACTCTCGAGACTGTAAACAGAGTTTATAGTATCGCAGAAGTTTTAGTTGAAAAATGATAATGAGCAGTTCATTACTTCGTCAACTTTCAGTCCCTGATTCATTGCTTGATAAAATCTAGCTAAATAAACGGGCAAAATTTCTTCCCCAGTCTTTTTTGCGCAAAATATCCGACACAGTGCTCCCAACGCTTCCGCTCTTCCAGACTCGTACCGATCTATACAAAGAGCCGGCGGTACGTCGTTGGAAGCTTCTTGTAGAGAACTAGGACCCTCGACGAGTACAGACGACGGACGTTTCGAAGCACCCGACGGTTCTGTTTATCAGAAAAATTATCTGGCTCGTATTATCGAAAATATTAATTCTTTGAACGTCTTAAGGGATGCTCACGTGGTAAATTTTGCGACCATCCATCAGTGCCTATAAAAGCAGCTTCAAACAGCCATTCACCAAATAAATGCAATATACTGTTACATTTCGGACGTCCCGGAGCTAAAGGGGGTCTAATATCCTGAACTAACGAACTCATAGCTGTAAATACAACGATCTTATACTGTATCAAATAAGTATTTATCAAATGTAAGCTCCTTCAAACAACTTACATGCCGTACTCGATGCGGATGACGGGCCGGAATTAGATATCATCATGGGCGGTGTGCTTGAAACCCGACTTGTTGTTAAACCGATCAAGGAAGCTTTTGGAATTCCTATTATAAAGTACAATGCATAATCTGACACGTGTGTCCGCGGCATTTTATTCTTATAATACAGTGTTCTGTATTTTTAAAAAGAAAAGAAACAGCTTGAAAGTATACGTGACAAGTATATACAATTTCGGAAATCAAAGGAAACGGCAGAAGATAAGTGCTTGAGTACCCTTAGTGACTGCGGAAGGTGTTACACTGAAACTTTTGGCAAGTCTGCGTTGCGTTGGAGGCGTAGGAGAAGGTTGAGTCGTGTCCTTGCTATTTGATTTATCCCATCCTACACCTCCGTTCCCGGTGCTAGCAGATCCAGAGGTGATCGTAGATACGCAACATTCTTCCCAGCAACATGCCTGTGAAACTCCTAAAACATTTGTGACTGCATGCAACCATCACCCAGTAAGCGAGTTGAAAGTCCGTATACTATCATAGTTATTTAAAAAAAAAAGAAGAAATGTAGAGAGAGAGGTCGACCTTATTCTTCTGGTATTGAGGACCTTCCCAGAAAAATACGATACCAATTATGCTGTACAGTTCGATCGTAGAGAAAGTCCCTTACCGAGGAAAGCGTCGACTTGTCCAGCTATACCCTTTATGGCTTTTAGAAAGATCTGCGGTAAATTCTGTAGACACGGGTGCTGACACGGGTCTATTACATTTGGACTGGCAATAGCATACTGTAAAAATGCCTGCGTCTGCGAGATAACGGCGGGCCTGCATAGATCGACGGGATCACCTATAGTACGTAAAAGTCTGTACCATGCTTGCGCCACTGCCTCGTCTGACATCGTAGGTGGTACAAGTTGAGAGTCTTCTTCGCCTAAATGCATCGCATACAATAATCACGTGTACCACCGAGCGCCGATACCGACTAATAAAAAAAGATCGACGTGACTAACTTATTTTTAATTCTGGAAACATTGGACCATACATAATTTGTAAAAGTCTCGCTGTGAGTGCGAGACAAACGCGATTCCACTGTTCCACTAATGCCAATCTGTGTCGCCATCGAAGACACGACTCTCTTAACGTGCGCCATAACGGTGGTGATGGAAAATTTCGTTCACACGCTACCAGCCACACCTAAAGGGACTTTGCTCAGTTAGTTTATCGTTCATAATCATCGTGTTCCTCTTAAGAAAAACTCTGTACCTCTAACAATACGCCCAGAACTCTTTCACACAATTGTTCTCCAGCATCTTCTCTCGTAGCTGGAGGAGCCAAGAGTGCATCGTTTATACCAATAAGAAACAGTAATAAGCTTTCCCATGTTTCCCTTTCCAAAGTGGCTGGACCCCTTGCTATTTGTTGCAATGTTCTTAGTACTCTGTGACACAAAACTGCTTGTCTGTTAATCGTATCTGTTCCTGTAAATAATGATAAACACTGTAACATCGTTAATTACTTATTCCTACGGCAGGTACGAAAGCTTTTAACATTGCGAAAATATAATTGTTTCAGTTACAAGATTACCTAAATCCTGATATAAAAATGGCCAGACTATAATGGGAAAGAATAATATATAACTTGAATTAATTCCATGAGGCTCACAAAAATAGTTTATCTTACCTTCTCCTTTTCGTGGAACAAATAAATTATGAAAATGACTGATTATTTTCCTGGCATAGAAGTTGGGATCGTCTATAATGGGTCTCGGTACACAGATCTTTGGCGTGGAATACAGAGCAGATAACCATTCGCAGTAAACGTTGACACAGTCCCTGACAGTGTCATGTTCAGCTAAGGGCAGTGATAATCCGAAGCATATCACTTCCATGCACCATTGTACTTCTTTGTCCGTGCATAATGGACTAGGTTCAGCTGCTTGTGTGATTCCAAGGTTTGTAGCCAGCTGACGTACAATAGACAAGGCTACTTCTTTCCCTGCTCCAGGAGAAAATTTCTCCAGAACACTCTGGCTTTCTTCCGAGCCTTGTTGAATTAAAACACTTAGAGAAGCCCATTCGGAATACATTCCTCCTTGGGAATCCTAACGAACACAATTAAATTGTAACACAATACTAAAAAAAAGGTTATTATTATTGCGATGGATTACCTTAAGATTAACTCTATTAAACACGCCTAAATTCATAGATTATTTCACGGCTTGATGTCTTCGATGAATTAGCAAAGAGAAAGTAAAAATTCGTATGTACACCTTGAATCTTGACTGTGACAAGTATATTTAACTTCATCTGATGTATGCACGACTAAGTGCAGAACTATGTATAATTCTCGAAGTAACGAGCATCGTAAAACAGGTATAAATGTGCGTTAAACTTGACAATTGCATACATCGTTTGACAATTAACTCGTCAGGTTATCACTGCTGTTTAGCAAGCATCATTGATATAGTTTTCATCGACGATAGCTATACACAGTCAGAGATCGTATATGTATACTAAAAGCACATACGTTTGTGTGTTAACTCGCTTTATAGAAACTATGGGAACGAAAAGAGGATTGAGGGATCTCTTCCTGTTAAATAATAATGAGGAAAATGTTAACATCGTGAACAATTTATTTGTTATTCCGTCAAGAATATTGACAGGTGACCCAATAGAATTCCTCGAACCAACCAACATGACGTTTCAGTGGTAACGAGTCGAATTATTGGGGGCGTTCGTTCGCTGACCACTGGTGACTGCATCGGCACTACTTGACTTGACTGTCCTCCTCGCGTGTGTTTAACTTCAACGTTGAAAGAGGAAAACATTGTTTTGTTGGCCCCGTGTGCAAGGAGTTTCTCCGTGAAACTGCAGGAATGACGTCTCGCGTGGAGAAGGAACGTTCCAAGCAGATACAAGAGAAATGTCAGAACCTTTTGATACAGATGCTACGCGACGAGGATAACAAGTATTGTGTCGACTGCGATGCGAAAGGTTCGTCCGTCAATCGTGAATTCACGACGACTTGTCTCTTGGTCCGTCCGATGAATCCTGATCATTCCATCCGCTTCCTACGAACGTTGTGATATTGCATTTTTCTAAGTAACGGTGCACGTAAGTCATCGATATCGATCTCAAAACGACCTAGTTTCCCGTAGCGAAGTATTATAGATTCTTTAATTTCTTCGTGACAAACTCTTAGATGACAGCGAGTACGAGCTGCCAATATCACCTGTGCTCTCCTGGCTGTCGCCCCTTCATTCGTGTACATTCTTTCCTCTTCCCTCCGATAATTTTTAACAAAGTTCCTACACCTCTGACCAGCATTCGTCAGTTTCCTCATTTAAATCATTTTATGCATCAACGAAATTGATTGCATGTGTCTTAGGACCGAGGTGGGCCAGTTGGAATTTAGGCATTTTCTTATGTATCCGTTGCGCTGGAATACATAGAAATCTGGGAGTTCATATAAGCAGAGTCAAGTCCGTTAATTTAGATACATGGACGCCGGAGCAAGTAGTGGTACGCTGCCAATTTGAGTGCTACTGATTCAGAAATAAAATTCTTACGTCTGATCGAAACGTGGCATTATCACTTCCAGAGTTTACAACAAATGGGAAATTCCCGTGCGAGGGCAGTATACGAAGCAAATCTTCCCGATAGTTTCCGAAGACCTCAAACGGTCTGTAGCCTTGAAAATTTTATTCGCGCAAAGTACGAACACAAAAAGTACATAGCTAGGGAATGGGTACCACCTCCGTTACCAAAGGTAATGACTCAACAGCTGAAAAATTTGATGTGCGCGAAACGAATGATAAAAATCTCAATAAATCGATCAGGTAAATTGGGACAAAGAGCTGGACGAAGAGGCAGAGAGGCAGCGTAGAAGAAAAAAGGATAATTCCAAGACGTCCAGCGCTCCAGCTATACTTCCGCCAGTTAAGAAACCAGAAGTAGTGCCTCAATTGCCAAAACCTAAGAGTTCTGTCAGTCCTAAGCCTAATAGAGCAAACAATTCTGCGACTCAAGACTTACTGGGTTTAGGTAAATTTCTATTACGAGTAGAAATATAAAAGTGTATCGAGTGTAACTTTATATTTTTTCACAGATGCTCCAGCAACAAATCAGTCGAACGTAAACGGTGCTGGCGACGACATATTCTCTTCATTTTTATCAGCATCTCCCGCTGCGAGTAGCAGTAGTACTTCTAGTACAATCACATCGACGGACACGCCAACAGCTGCAAGTAAAAGTGAAGAAGAGAATTTCTTTGATCAGCCAGCACCGTCGTCCCAAGAAAAAAATAAAATGTCCAAAGACAGTATTCTGGCCTTGTACGGAACCCCGAGTCATCAGCAGTCAACCATGTTCGGAGTTCCTGGTATGTTTGCTGCTTTACACACGATACGCTTGGAACTCTACGCTATTTTATCTTTCAGCTGGATTATACGCTCAACAATCTACGGTTCAGTACAAGCAAGTACCAAGCGCGGTGCCGTTTGGTCAGCCAACTAATTATCCAAATCAACAAAGTTCCTTGACTCAGCTTAATCAACTTCCTGCCCAGATGTCTGTCACAGCTAATCAGTTACCTATTAATCAAAATCAAGTTACGGTAAATACTAATTCGTTAGGACCGATGGCACCGAATTCTTTAGGGAACTGTTTGCCAAACGTAGGCCAAATAAATGGTGTGCCTAATCCGATGCAATCTCAAGTGGTATATACATTCCTCTTGCACAATGCGAGTATTAGAAATCTATTTGTCGATTCGACTAATTATTCCGTATGCCGTTAGGTGATGCAACTAGGACAGTCTAGCATTAGTAGTAATAACGGATGGAGTGGAATGTTGACGCAAAATCTTCAACCGGCTCCTGGTAGCAATCCATTTTTCAATTTAACATCTCAACAGCAGCAACAGTCCGTTGCGTTCAATTCCCAGGTATGAAGATCGTACACGTAATTTTCGTTAAAAGACTTTCGGGACAACGACTAAAAATGCGTCTGTTTCAGTTGTCGCAACAAATGGCGCAAATTTCATTAGGTGGAACGAACTACTCGACCACGCCAGGAAAATCTACTACCGCACTTCCCGGTCAAACGCTTTCCACCAATTTGTGGCAGTAAAAAAATTACAAATATCGCTAGTTGATCGATTGTATCGTTCAGTGTCGTACACTAGTGTCGAACGTTCGTTACCCAACATAATTACATTTCCATGTTAGCTTGGAAAATCCAGTCGGGGACATCACGCGACGGAGACACGAATAAAAAGTACTCGGGCTACTGCCGTTTCCGAAAAAAAAAAGTATTTCGTGAGTGCACGACGAAGTATCTCGAGTCGAAAAGATTTCTTCGCTAAAGCTTCGCTAGCTTTCAACGTTATTGTTGGAAAGGTGGAAACTATATGAATAAAAACCAATTTTTTGACTGACTGTAAAGATGAGTTATTCGTGACGTACAGTATACAACGTACTCGATAATGTAATTGTATTATTTGCTAAAACGGGTGCTTTTGTAATCACCGTGAACGTGTGTCAGGGTCCACTTTCATTATGGCAAAATAACTTTCATTACACTTAAAATAGGTATACAAATATTTTTAGTACAACGTATGCGTATCTTGCGACACAGTTCATTTTTACCCGAAAACGTAAGGGAGAAACTGGACGCATAAATATGTTTTAACGAAATATTCAAGTTCTCTGACAAACTGTACATTAAAGGCCACTTTACTTAAAAGTGACTTCAGTTATTTTGAAAGCTAGTTCATTCTCTAACAGGAAATAACGATATTTATATATGATCGAAATGTATCGTACGTTCTAAACGTTTCATTGTTATTTTTGTCTACTGTTAACATCGGTTCGTGTAAAAATCGTATGGACAATGCCTTGCGTTTTAAAAAGTTATTGTCGTTTGTATTAACTTAATATTCAAACAAGTATTATTATTACTCCTTACCTTAATGCATTTAGCGTTTTTATTAATAGTTGATGGCAGTGACTTAATCACATTACTGACACCTTCATTTCTAAAGTATACGTAATGAAGTCTAAAGAAACATGTTTTCAAACGATATGCACTTAAACACCAAGTATTTTAATTAAAAGTGTTTGCTGACGACTAAATACAATTGTGTAAAACGGGGTTCTTATAATTCCCTGCTAAAATTGTATAATTTATTGCCGTGTAAGAAGAAAAATACTGAAACTTGACAATAAGTTCGAAATATATTTATCACGTTTACGTTTCAATTGCATTGAACCGTTCTTTATTTAATCGGATAATATAAATTACTATGTCGGACACGAAATAAATAACATAAACGTAAGAAATTTTTTTCATGTATTCTTATAATTAGAAATTATCGTGGTACATGCAGTTCAATAGTGATTCAGGACAATTAGACCTTGTAACTTACTGTTGCATCGAGAAAAATTCAATTGTAAAATTGATGATAAGTACAAATATACGTTGTCAAAGAAAATATTTATGACATATCATTTACGAAGTATTTGAAGCAGCTGAGCAATTAATCAATTCTTTCGAACTCGTTTTCGCGATTACGTGGAGTAGCGTTTCAATTTGAATATCTATGGTAAGCGCCATCTACTACGCGTTATTAATTAGATTATGATAATAAAATGAATTATTTATGTTCAAGGGACTACAGTTCTTGTCTTAATAAAATATGTATTGTATACTTAGACAATTGTTAATGGTACTTCAAGTTTCAATGGCGTTTCAGGTTCTTTGAATTTAATCGGGGGAGGACTTTCCTGGAGAAGTACTGGAAATCCGGAAGGTGCCATCTTTATTACGAGAGCTAGGTGCACTCTTTCATTTCCGTAAAACGTCTCTTTGCCGTAGCATCAAAGCCACGTGAGGCAATAATGGATAAACCAGTCGTTTTGGCACGAGTAATAAAAGTCCTGGGCCGAACCGGCTCACAAGGACAATGTACACAAGTCAAAGTTGAGTTCCTGGGAGAACAAAACCGACAGATCATCCGTAATGTAAAAGGACCTGTACGAGAAGGCGATCTCCTAACCCTCCTGGAGTCGGAACGTGAAGCGAGAAGGCTTCGATAGACCAACAAGGACTACCTCCAACACGTGGATACCATCAGCAGTGTTTGGACTTTGGAAATCTAATTCATTCCATTAACAAAAATGGGGATCATTCAACTACAATAGCACGGGCAAACTTGGTACAAAACATCCATGTCAATGAAGATGTCTACAACTTCTGTAATAAATACTGGCTACTGTTTAACAGACTACACGTTATTGTTTCATTTATTCAGAAATCTTTGTATCTTACGTCTAAGTGAACAGATAATAAGGATGAATGTCATTCAAGAGTGGACACATGTGCTTAAGAAATGTAAGAGTTATATATACAAAGGTGATAAAGCATTAGATTACATCTTTGTTGTATTTACAGCAGTAATGTAACAATATTTTATAAAACATGTTTCTTAGAAATACTTGAACGATTCATGTACAAAAAAATATTCACATTTTGCATATAAATCATAGGACATTTCATGAGCTGTGAGATGTATGTACATCCATCATGTTAGGATCGACCTAGTGATCTGAATGTTAAGAACTTTTTATAATTGTTATATTCTTCTACGTTTTGGCGGGGGTGTATCGCGTGGACTAGAAGATGTTTTGGAGGTACTGTCCATACTTTGCCTGGTCGGTCGTTTCGGTCCCCTTTTCAAGCTCTCACGGCCAGAATCAGAATCCCTGCGTTCCTTCTTGTCATTCGATGCTGGAAAAAGAAATTCAATCATATCTTATATTGATGTTTCCGAGGTTTCGAAAAGAACTATCTACTTACCTTCTTCCAAATCATCTTTCCCTTTTGACCGCCCTTTGGAAGACTTGTAATCCTTCCTGACATCTTTAACATCTCTAAGCTTGTCCTTCTTTATCTCGATGTCTTTGACAAACTTTTTATATTCTTCCTTTTTTTTGTCAATATCTTTACTCCCTTTCAGATCGCGAAGGACTGTATCCTTCTTCGCAGGATCTTTTACATCTTTATCTTTTTTAATCTCTTTATACTTGTCCCTTTGTTCTTTCAACTTAATATCTGATTCATCTCTTTTTTTTGATTTGAGTAATCCACCAAAATCTTGCTCTGGCAAACAGAAATCTATTTCTTGATTAGGGAACGGTGGGTCCTCCATGTCATCCTAAAACGGTGTCATTACAGTCTCGAATTCATGTCGTTTCATCGTTATAACTGATTTATAAACAAGTACCAGAGCCATCAGATCGTACATCGATTCCAAATGCTCCCAAATGGATTTCAATGACACATCCTTGTGAACGGCAACGCGAAATTTTTCCCATATACAGACCATGTGAAAATACTTGTTAATGCCTAATGAAAATCAATTTAACTATCGTTACACCACGATGTAAACATATAGCCTACGGAGGTGTCAAGTTAACCCTTACCAACGGGTTTATGCCCGTTCATAGCAAAGAATAATTGAATTTCATTTTCAACATTCCATTCTACTTCATCGGTGGAAGCATCCGTTTGTTTCTCTTTCACTGCCATTCTCAAAATTCATAAATTCACCGATATGTCAATCCGTTTATATTAGTTTACGGTTTATACACTGACGGTTCGGTGCGAGTCGGTGGCATTCCTGGCATTCTTAATTCTTCACACATGCGAGGTTATGTTATAAGCACGAAAGCACGGTCAGTATTGCCAAATGTTGCGAACGATATTTCACACTTCCTCGACTTTTATAATTAAAGGAAAATAAATAAATCACTTGTAATTGTCAACGAGACAATTACGTTTATAAGAAGTGTTTATGAACATTACGAAAGAAGACATCAAGTGATAATCATTTCAAATATAATTTTGATACTTTGACTTGGTAAGTACACGAAGGTGCAAACAATTGTTTGAAACCAACAATCTGACGTTACAATAAACGAAAGGCTGCAACAATTACATTTTTTATTTCAGGGAACGTTTCTCATTGTCAACAGGGCCTGTCATCACCATTGTGTCACCATGCACGAAAGTATAGACGACATATGCAAAGCGATCGATGAAAATTTATTACGTAATTTGGAGTTATTGGAAGAGAAAATAATCGTGAATGTACAGATGGAAAAGATACTGCGCGACGGTTACATCGAACTGGCCAAGGCCAAATATATACGAGGCAAAGAGAACATAAGCGTATTGCAAATTCCAGCTGACGATGAGAAAGTAGTTACGCTATTTGAATTAGAGACAAAGTTAACAGAAGAGACTGGGAAGATTGTCCCAAATTTTGATATAAGTTTAAAGAACATGGAAGAATCTGGCAATGAGATTCAAGATCCTATAAAATGGTTCGGGGTACTGGTGCCACAGAGCTTGAGAACAGCTCAAAAACGATTCCAAGAGTCTCTTTACGTCGCTGTCAGAGCAGCAAATATACAAGCCGAGATTACCTCTGTAGTAGACAAATTACAATCTTTATATTTCCTAAAACATACTTCTTGTTCGACACGTGTAAATAAAGAATGAATTTATCTATTTACGTTGCTGTACAGTATTATCAAATATATTTTTTCAATAGACATTGCCGAGTTTGTTATTGCAATATGGTTTTTTTTTATTGAATCTATGAATGTTATAAGAATTCTTATAACATTATTATAATTAATAATGTGCATACATTAAATAAATCTAACCATTGTGAACAAAGTTTTATAGTTACGTATCAAATGTTGGCATGACTGAAGCATTATTGTGGTTCATGAGAAATTCCCGCCAGTTTCTACTTTTCAGTTTGAGTACGTTTAAGCGAGTCCGTTTAATGGTTCGAGTGTCAATAAAAGAAAGAAGAAAAGCCGTGTTCTTACTTAAAAGTTTGTTCTACGATTAGTGGATTCGAATTTTGAACACGAACACAATGGTAAGATAAAATGTTACACGTGCATATTAATAAAGACCTGTTGCAGACACGATGTTTTACAAAAGATATCTTTACGTGCTAATATCTTGGAAATTTGACAGGATTCCAGCAGTCCAGTACGTTCTGACAGGCTCGCAGAGGCAATGACATCCCCTGCCCCAGAAATTGATGAACCGTTCGAAGATGAAACTGATCTCCTCGGCAATGACAATGATAATAATGTCAACGAGGAAGAGGAAGAAGAAGGAGAAGAATTATTTGGAGACAACATGGAAGAGTAAATACATTTTCCTGATCCTGTTTTACAAGACTAGAATGTATTAGACATTAATTCGTAAATGATATTTCAGTGACTACCGGCCCATGCCAGGATTGGATAGATACGATCCAGATGTTGTGGATGATGAGGATTACTCGGAATTGTCTCAGGGAGAACGTGTTGCTGCTGAAACTGCCATGCGTAAAAGAGATAGGGCAGCAGGCATTATCAGAGATGACAGATATTTACTTTATGGTACATCTCCTATTAATGTTATCGATGTCGTTTTCTACCTGTGTACACATTATAACATGTTTTTATATAATTAAGATGAGAGTGACGAGGATGAGGTGCAAGCACGAAAAAGACGCATGGCCGAGAAAGCAGCAACAGGTCAAATCGAAGATGTCGAAGTAAGATATTGTCCCTTTAAATGATCTAACGTAGTTTCTTGTTCGCTTCTTTGATCATTCAGTTATATTTCAGATGATCGAATCTATCGAGAACTTGGAAGATACCAAGGGTCACTCGGTCAAAGAGTGGGTGTCTATGTTAGGACCGAGGACGGAGATCTCAAATCGTTTCAAGAGCTTTCTTCGTACACATACTAATTCAAAGGGACAGTACATGTACAAGGAACGAATCCGTCATATGTGCGAAAGTAATCAAGTAATGTTTCTCATTAATTTCATTGGCAATCTGCGATTTATTATGATATTAAAAGATACATGAAGCATGAATATGTTCTTTCGACAGTCTAGCTTTGTCGTCGAATTCCCAATTCTTGCTAGCAAGGAGCACGTCCTGGCTTATTTTCTACCAGAAGCTCCGTTTCAAATGTTGGAGATATTTGACGAAGTAGCAAAAGAGTTGGTGCTAACTATATTTCCCAGTTACGAAAGAGTCACGAGCGAGATACACGTCAGGATATCAGAGTTGCCTTTGATCGAGGAAATTCGTACGTTCAGGTAAATACAACTGTCCATGCTAATTGAAACGCATCGTTTAAACGATTCATAATAAACCGTAGGAAGTTACATCTCAATCAATTAGTACGTACTTTGGGAGTCGTTACCGCGACCACCGGAGTGTTGCCACAATTGTCTGTTGTAAAATACGATTGTACAAAATGCGGATACGTACTCGGGCCTTTCGTTCAGAACCAAAATACCGAAGTCAAACCTGGTTCTTGTCCCGAGTGTCAAAGTATCGGACCTTTTATGGTAAATTAATCATTGTACTCTCATTGCGGTTGCAAAATGTATTTCCTTTATTGATAGATTCGTATTAATTACAGATCAATATGGAACAAACGATATACAGGAACTATCAAAAGATCACGATACAAGAATCACCAGGTAAAATTCCGGCCGGTAGAATACCTAGGAGCAAAGAGTGCATTCTTCTATCGGATCTATGTGATCGCTGCAAACCTGGCGACGAAGTAGACGTCACTGCCATTTACACGAACAATTACGACGGCTCGTTGAACACAGAACATGTACGTAATGTATTTGTTATGATTGCCTGAGAATTTTGCATCGCCTATTTTGTCTTTCAGGGTTTTCCGGTATTCGCAACGGTTCTTCTTGCCAATCATTTACAAGTGAAAGGTTCGAAAGAAATTGTGGAATCTCTGACTGAAGAAGATATTTCTAACATCATCGCTTTAAGTAAAGATCATCGAATCAGCGATCGCATCGTCGCAAGTATCGGACCCTCGATTTATGGACACGACTTTACGAAACGAGCGTTGGCGTTAGCAATATTTGGCGGAGAATCAAAGAATCCTGGTATTTACATTTTTATATATAAATTGCTGGAGCAATTAGAATGAAGCATGAAGTTCAATGAGACGCGAACAAATCTGTAGGTAACAAACACAAAGTAAGAGGAGACATCAACGTGCTGTTGTGCGGTGATCCTGGAACAGCCAAATCTCAGTTCCTGAAGTTCATCGAAAAAATTGCACCCAGGGCGGTGTTTACTACGGGTCAAGGAGCCTCGGCTGTAGGTTTGACCGCTTTCGTGAGGAAATCACCAACGACTCGGGAATGGACTTTAGAAGCCGGTGCCTTGGTACTCGCCGATCATGGAATTTGCCTCATCGACGAGTTCGATAAGGTAATGAATCGTCAATCGAGTTTTTCTAAGGTAGAGTACAAACGTTGTTTCATATGCAGATGAACGATCAAGATAGAACATCTATTCACGAAGCTATGGAACAACAAAGTATCTCTATATCAAAAGTGGGGATCGTTACATCGCTTCACGCGAGATGTTCAGTAATAGCCGCGTCCAATCCTATCGGAGGAAGATACGATGCCAGCATGACATTCTCAGAAAACGTAAGTCACATACATTAATACAACGAAGTATAACAATTTATTGGCTTTTTATGCTTAGGTGGATTTATCGGAACCAATTCTATCTCGTTTCGATATCCTTTGCGTAATCAAAGACGAAATAGACCCTATGCAAGACCGACACTTGGCCAAGTTCGTTGTTAATTCTCATGTGAAACATCATCCAACGAATGCAGGGAAAGAAATAGCTACAGAGAGTACAAACGATATGGCTATTCCTCAAGATCTTTTGAAAAAGTACATTGTCTATGCACGCCAGAACATTCATCCCAAATTAACAAACATTGACCAAGATAAAATCGCGAAATTGTACAGTCAGTTGAGGCAGGAGAGTTTGGCTACCGGGAGCTTACCGATCACCGTGCGACATATAGAAAGTATTATACGTATGGCCGAAGCGAGTGCCAAGATGCATTTACGTGATCACGTTCAAGAAACCGATATCAATCTTGCCATCAGAATGATGCTAGATAGCTTCGTCGAGACACAAAAGTATTCGGTGATGAAGAGTATGCGTCAAACATTCCAAAAATATCTATCGTACAAGAAAGATCATAGCGAACTGCTGTATTATATACTCAGACAGATCACAATAGACACTCTGGCGTTCCAAAAAGCTATACGTGGAAGTCGTATTTCAACGGTCGAAGTATTAGAGAAAGATCTGTTGGATCGGGTACGACTCATTCACTTTTTTCATTTCTACGTTTATGAATTTCGTTCTGCTAACGTCCATGATTTTCGTTTCATTGCAGGCCAAACAAATCGACATATTCGATCTACATCCGTTTTATGAGAGTCATATCTTCAAGTCAAATAATTTCGTCTATGATTCGAGAAGGAAAGTGATAATACAGACACTTCCCGAAGGTGCCGATGACTGATACGGTATTAAGGATGATGCAAATCAAATACGACTTTATTTACAATTCGATACTGTTTATACAAGCATAGTTTTTACGTACAATTATATGACTTCAATAAAAGATCAATCGTTTTTACTACGACCGATGTATAATAATTATCAGCACGTCTTTCACTCTCGGACACAGACTACTTAGCGACATAGTTTCGATACATACATCATCTCTCGCTTCTGTTATCATCAGGACCATGTACGCACGATACAATTCGATTACAAAATTCATTCGAAATGTACGATACGTGTAAGTACTTTAGTTTGAAGATTTTGTACATTAATACTTGTACATTTGCACTCGTCGTATATGCAATATTAAAAATATAATGTTCATCAAATTTTACGCCCTATCTAGAGAGGTGTGAACGTTTGTGTGGTTGAATAAAATTAGAAGAATGGTTACTTGTCTTGCTGCTGCTACTGCTACTGATACTACTGATGCTGCTGCTGTCGCTACTACTGCTAGAGACGCTATCACTAGAGTCCGATTCACTGTCCGAGGACGAGCTGCTACTGCTACTACTGCTAGAGCTGCTGCTATCAGCACTTGAATCTGTATCATTGGAATTAACAAAATCTGTCTTCATCTTCTTCTGTTGATGGCCTTTCTTTACTTCCTTGTTTTGTTCTTCACTGCAAGTATTTAACTGCTGATACCAGAATTCTTAATGATAAAAAGTTTCGTGATACATACCCGTTCGATTCCTGTTGCTTCTGTAACGCTTTCTTCAATTGTGACGTACGCGAGGATCTATGTAAATATTTCCTCTTTCCTTTACATTCATAACTCCAGTGTCCTATTTCCAGGCATTTCTGACACCTTATATTTTGTGCACATGGATTGCTGGAAACATGATAACAATATTTCATTGTTTTTCTTTAAAGGATTCACAGGGAGTAAATTAATAACGTATCTGATGAATAATTAAAACTCGAGACGACAATAATCCGGCTTTGTACTTACGGTCTTTTCAACACTCTCAAACTGTTCGAATTCATGTTACATTATTTGAACACCTCGTAAATTTAATCTATTAATAAGTTTCTCTTTGATAAAACTTATTTAAACGTGGAATGAATAAGGTTATTGAAATGTATAAGGCCTTCAACGTAACCAAACTAACCAAACGTAAACGTAACGCTACACGGAACGCGAGTGCTTTTGAAGCTTGGGTACAATGTACAATAGGTTCTTCGAAAACGTTTTAACGGGAATTACCAATTATACGTATTATACGGATATGAAGCAAAATTATTAAAATCAAGCTATCGATACTTTTTAAGGTTGTATGAACCCTTGCATAAAAACAGTGACAAAGCACTGAAACTTGAACAGTTACTAGATATTACATTAATAAAACACTGTACAAAATTACATCTTGAATTCTTATGTCGAATGACAAAATTTTGAGTTCATTTATGAAAAATATGAATGCAACAATGACAGGCAATAGAATGTTGCAAATTTCTATAATTCTTAATACATGATTTAAAAATATTTTAATGTTGAAATAAAGTCAATTTCGAGGATATTATTTAAAATATACAATAAAAAGTATGGGAAAGTAGGAGTTACAGGACATGTAGACAATGTAGACAGTTGCAAGTCATGTATAATCCAATAAAAAAATGCCAAAACTGTGTATTAGAATATTAGAAATTCCTTATGACCGAGAAAAACAGGTCGAACGATTTTATAAACCTTACTCCTCTGTAATTATCGTCTTTTTTAAAAGTTCATTGCTTCAAACATTGGACAGTTTTTTATTACATGTCTTAAACTTTTGGCAGAGATCTTACGGCTCATACAACCTTAATTATTGGTGGACGAAGTGTTTTACGATGATGATCGATTTAAACGATGAGGGACATGATTTACGTTTAATAAAAAATGTTGACAGAAGAATAGAATTAAAAGTTCTTCGGAACGAGTTAGCTGTGAGAAATGAAATATTGAGCGTAAAAAAGAAAGAATTGAAGGAGAAACGTAAAGAACTGGTAATTTTATTGACATAAATTTAATTTCGTATCAATACATGTTCGCGTACTACAGGATAACATAAATTATGATATATGGAATACGCAAGATAGATTTTGCGATGAGATATGGAATTTCTCCTCGAGACACAATTTTAACAAGCTCTTTAATCAATACCCTGACGGTACACAAATAATTGAGCCCCACGAATGTAAATATAATTCTGTAATCGATGAAGGTGCAGGAAAAACCGATATACAGTTAAAATTAAAACAAGAAATTGATATTATTAATAACGAACTGATACTCGTTCGTAAGAACAATGTCGATGTTGAGGATGATTTGAAACGATGTCGAGTCACTTTAGATAATTTAGTATCATTCTCGGAAGAAGCATTGAAACTTATAAGGTGCATTATAATAAAATTAAAGAGTACGTTTATTAAATATCTTAGGAGTTACTGATACCTATCATATGTATATAGATCAATAAATGCGATAAGTGCTGCAGACAATTCTTTATCTATTTCTAATACAAAGGAGAATGAAAAATCGCCAAATGAAGGATTTTACAGTGCTAGAAGATTGTTATTGAACGAATCTGGATTTCGGAATTGCGTTTTAACTGAAACAAACTACGTATCTACTAACATTACCGGTGAAATTAACAAACAAGTATTAGAACATTCTCGTTAATATTGCAGTAATAAATTCTGCCGGCTCGCATTCTCAAGTATATTCTCGGTATTTCAGGATTTCAACATTAGAAACACTACTGTAAAACACAGGGTGTTTGTTATGAAAAAGAGAAGCAAAATCGCGCTTAAATACGAGAAAAATAAGGTAGTAGATAGACAATGAGAACGTGTAAATAAGATTTGAGATCGAATAAAATCCTTAACATCAAATGATACTTATACTATGTAGATACCGAGACATCCTGATGGTTCATAATATATTCATATATTTAGAAATATACAGCTTCTTATACATATAGTCATATACATCGAATTACATTAAATATTACGACTTTTAAAATTATACATATACCGCGATTTATAATTTGAAAAGTTATTTATTCTTCATCATTTTCATATAAATTTAATTATCTTCCAATCGTACTAGCGTATTATACTTATGTATTTTAAAACTGTTTCAACAGTTTATCACAACAATTTGTATTTTAGTATTCCTTTTGGCAACTCTTGCACATATCCTTCAACTTATTTTATACTGTAACACGTGTTAAACATATATCGTCGAAATAAAACGATACTTTAAACTCGTAACGTTTCGTACATCTCTTTATGAAAGAAGATAAACGTTGTACACTTTCATAAATTATATGGACAACTATTACCGTTTAACATAAATACCGAGATGGTACAAAGATAAGCATTTCGACACGAATTCCATAAATTGACATTGATAGTTGCAACACGTAAACGTTATCATTTAATACGTAGCGTAAAACTTAATAACATTGATTTAATCTACGAAAACTTGTAGAAATAAATCGAACGGAAGGGCAGGCGAAATCTCGTTTGTGCAATATTATTATCCGTCTTTACTCCATGGACAAGTTTGTAGAAATTTGAAAGACAAAGTTAATGTAAATACGTTACATATCATATTTAGAACATAACTAGTGTAGAAAAATCGTGTAAATAGGTAGATAACAAATCATACATCTTCGTACATGAATAATTATAGAATAGACATACTTTCTCTTAATTGCAGTTAAAAAATTTGCCAAGTTCCATCGTACTCGTAATCTTATCTCCCGATTGTCGAGGAAACCAGACTACCCTGCAGCGTGTTTAAATAGCGCTAATTAGAATTGCGTTAAACAAACTCCGTCAGTACCTTACAGTTAAATGTACGCGTCGTAGAATATGTTAAAAAAATCAATATATTTTAGCTATAAATAAAACTCGATCAACCGTAGAAGTAATGATCCCTCGTCAAGGTGATCATATATAGTTAATTAAAATTAATATTGGCACCGTCTTTCCGCTGTGCATATAAAACTTTACTGCAAAGAAATAGTTCACTTGTCTTTAATCAGTATCGATGATACTTGGCAAGAAAACAATTTTACGACAATCAGTGGTGCGCGGATACCAGAAAACTCGGTCACCTGCACGCCCCTAATAACGCATTTAACAAATCATTAAGAATCGACATCTAATAGGCCCTAGACACGGTGCAACGTGCATTACGATACATGCATCGGGACATAGGTTTCAAGAAATCAGTTCGCCTCCGGCGAACTCGTCCGGTTCTCTCTTTGAACAAAGTATAAAACGCTGGTTCCTGCATCTTCTGACGCTGTTCCGGACTACGTAAATACATTTGAACGTGTGTCGTGCAAATCGACGCATGTACCGCAACACATTTCACCGTGCATAGGGAGCTGATAATCGTATTTTTAATTTCGTTACATGGACCGATACGGGCCTTGTATCTTCAAAAATTGTATTACTACCGACGGTCCTCCTGCCACTATCTCCGGAGGTATTCGCGACAGTCTACAATTTTCAATGGACATTATACTAAGATTTGTACATAAAGCTAATTCGAATGGTAAATTATCTAATTCAACGTTGTCGTTAACGTAAAGCGAATCTAATTTTTCTAACGTGCCGACCTCCTCGGGCAAACATTTGAGATTATTTTCTCCGACGCTCAAGTGCGTCAAATTGATCAAATGTCCGATGGCTCTTGGCAAAGAAGTCAGCTGATTCGACTGTAAATTCAATTTCTGCAACTCTCTTAAAAAACCAATTTCATTAGGTAACGATTCGATCTTGTTCTCCTCGAGATCTAATACTCTGAGCTTACGCAAGTTCGCTATAGTGGCAGGAATACGTTTTAAAAGATTATTCGAAAGTATCAACACTTCTAGATTTTGAAGCCATTGGACATCGTCAGGGATCTTCGTCAATTGATTCGTACCCAAATTTAATTCGACCATATTGACCCATGTACCAATGTCTAACGGTAAACCGGTCAACTGATTCTCCTTCATGTTCAACTTGGCGAGATTCTTCGCCCTCGAGAAGATACCATACGGTATCTTGTCTATTTTGTTATGCTCGAGATTGATGGAATAGACGTTCGTGAACTGAGCTGGTCCTCCAGACGGGTACGCGGTGAAAGCGTTCCTGGACAACGTGATCGTCGTCAAGTCCGAAAGACTCGCGAGCAGTCCATCCGGCAATTGAGATATTTGATTTCCCTCCACGCTGAACTCGTCCATCAATTTACAATTTGCCAAAGACTTTGGAATACTGGTTAATCTATTGTATCTAAGTCCTAATCTCGATAACGAGGTTTGATTTCCAATCGTGTCGGGAATGTCCAGGAGCTCGTTGTGTTGCAAGTCGAGCGTAGACAATTGGACGCAATTCCCAATCTCCTCGGGCAAGTGTTCGAGATGATTATGAGAAACATCGAACGTTATCAAATTGACTAATTTGCCGATACCAGCCGGAAGTTCTCTGATCTTATTCTCCCTCAAACTAAGCATCGTTAAATTCGTTAAATTTCGTATGTTGTCACTTACGTATCTGACTCTATTGAAGCGTAAGAACAAGGTCGTCAGATTCGTCAGCTTGTAGACGACATCGGGTATCTCGCTCAGCTTGTTATGCCTCAGGTCGAGAACTCTCAGGGACTTTAAGTTCTCCAACGTGTTCGGTAAACTCGTCAGCGAGTTCTCGCTCAGAGCCAACGTCTCCAAGTTTGTGAGGTAGCCGATTTCAGGTGGTAACGTTGCGAGTTTGTTACCGTACAGATAAAATTCGACCAGATGCGTCAGGTCCCGCACTGTGTTAGGCAAATGCGTGATGTTGGATTTGCTCAGATCCAGCCGCTTCAAGCACTCGTCCTTGCATCTCGTGAATTCTTTCGAGACGTCCAAATCCGCTTGTATCGGTTTCCCTTTCTTGGTAGTCGGCTTCGGTTTGTTTGACTCGGGATGCTTGACAGTCACCGTTTTTTTCGTGTCGGGGCTTCCTATCGACGCGAACGACAACTTCTTCTCCTTCGACTGCTCCTTGTTATCCCGAAGGACGTCCACGTCCTCAGGCATGTCGCCGGCTGTACAGGTGGTCAAACCACAGCCTTCCAAGTATTCAGGAATATCCTGTTCCTTCATGTAAAAGCTCGGAAGACGGTCTTCGAGGTCCTCACGGTCCCTCTTCACTTCGGACAAACACACTGTCGAAATGTTACCCACACCTGTCCAAGATTTGTTCGACTTTCTCATAGCCTAATTACTATTACGACTACGATTACTCCCTTCGTGTATTCTTACGTTTCTACGACATCATACACTTTTCAAAGATTTCGTGCTTTATAAGTATTGACATATCGATGTCATCAACTGCGAGTAGCGCAAACGCGAACGAGTAACGGACGGCTGATAGACGTGAGTGCGCGACGATGAGATACGAACACCGTTCCAGAACCTATCCAAATATTCTCTTCCACTTTAAAAATACTCCATGCCTCCACACACGGTTTCACATTATTTCTGCTACCTGCTGTTACGTAAATTTCGATTTACTGATAATGATCAACGATTAAAGAGCGTCCGTTTCGTTGTGTACGAGATTCATTTCGAAGAACCACATCTCCATCTATCGCACGAGACTCTATGACTCACACCTCACACCGCGTTCAAACGAATTATCGTGATCATCCTATTAACGAGTTGACCGATATCTGTTATTTGTTATTCTTTTTAAGACTCTTAATTCCCTTTTAATCGTTTTACTTTCGTCGTCTATCGATCTCTTTATGTATCTTTATAAAATAGAATAATATACGTACCTGTGTGGAGGAAAATGAGTTAAAGTCTAGGGGAACAGGTGACGAAACGTACTTGTTGCGAGGTAATTACATGTTTAATTCATAATTAATAAAATAAAAATTATAAAAGCATTTTTCAAATACATTAAATGTATTCCGTGTATAAATATAACTAGATTTATGAGTGTTTGTACTCTCATCAGTCATATATATCGATAATGTACACGCCAATTTACTATTAGACATTACTTTCACTGACCTAAACCTTGTTAAATACGTATGATCATATGAATTAATTGTTTTAATTCAAATTACTTCTCAATGTACAAATATATATGTAAAGTTATATTCGTTAAACTATCTGGTCAAACTTTTTACGAACTTTATAGCCAGTTAAAAGATATATACTGATACATAGACAATTTCCTATTCCGAAGAAGCATATCGTTCTCTCAAACTCGTTCAACGTACTTTGGTCACTCTTCTGGGTATCAGTATCGATAAAATGTTAAAAGTTGTATTAACTCCGATGACAGAAGGTATCGAACACTAAGCCATTAATTGAGACATGGCTCTGCATGCAATAAGTACATAACATAAACAATTTTAATACTGAGAAGTTTCTACTTCATCTACACCGGAAACACTAGCTTGTTCAAGTACTTCGAGAAGCTTCTGCATTTCCATCGTATCCGTCGAATTGTCAAGCGTTCTCTCGAGCGCTCGCACGTACGACATACACGTACGTCCCTCGTGATCTAGATTTTGCGGATTCGCTTTATGCTGCAACGATTTCACGAAGCATGCTTGATTATATTACAGTTACATACACGATCACCTAGAAATTTGTATACACACCCATATCAACAGCTGGGCCATAGCTAAATTTCCCGTAGCGCAAGCCAAGTGTAAAGGCGTTCTCAAGTCTTCCATACTGACAGGCATGTTAATGTCCTCGTAACTACATCTGGCTAAGCACAACGTGAACGCTCTCATATCGCCCCTACATCAAATTTCGGACAACGTATAGTATCTAACTATTATCTCTAATTCTTGTGGCTTGAGAATATTTACCGGCAAACCGAATCAATAAGGAGTTTCCCCAAGGAGATGTTTGGATTTATCGGCGGCAGAAACATTTTATCCTCGTACTTCCACCTGATCCATTGCTCCTTCTCTTCCCTAGGGGAGTCCGAGCTCGGCTTCTGTTTCCCGTTCAAGCAATATTCCCAAACACTATTCGCTATGTCATTACCAAGGGCTAACATTACACTTAACTGACCTGCGCTAAAATTAATTTCAGGCTATTTTACGTTGCAACAATATATACATGCATATCTATCACGTGCAATATTAAAAATTTCGCTGTGGATTTATATCGTTATGATTGAAGATCAAGTAATTTATTATCGGCATCGCTACACGTTATTTGTTATACAGATCGAAAATTGAAGCAAGTAGTTATCGCACTTACGACCAATCGTCCAAGTCTAACGACCTGACTTTCGATATGTGTGAACCCAGATTTCTGTGTATTCCCGAGCATTCAATGCACATCAATACACCCAAGTTCAAGCTGGCCCAATCCGGATCTAAAACGTACATTACCTAGAATCTCAAGATGAAACTGTACACACCGTAAATCAATGGTCGTATCACTTACTCGATGCTCCGCAATCAACGCAGGCATCGTTACCCGATACTTTATTTTTTATACAATGCATTTTGAAAGCATCAGGTTCATTCTTCTTATCACCGTCGCTATTTTGCAAACTCGACAGTATCTGCTGCTCTATAGCAGAGATCCAACTGTCTCTATCTTCGGCGTTATTCGCTTCGAAATGCCACGTCTTGTTTTCTAACGAGATGATTGAAAATTCAAAGCTATCTTCTGGAAAATCAAGTACATTCCAAATGTAAATCACTTCGATTAGAACAAGCGGTTCAGAGATAAAACAATTGGTTCAGCACCTTGAGCATTGGATGATTTAGAACCTTTAGGGGTTTTTCCAGGCACTTTTACGGTCACATATTGTAACAATATCTCTTTACCATTACTATCGTTCATATAATCCTAGAAGAACAAAAGTAGACACCCATAATATAATGAATAATTCAAGACGTACGTGTGTAGAAATATTTAAACGTCGAACAGTTACATGTAAGCTGGAATGGTAAGTTAAACGACCATCTTCCAGTAATGTAACGTATTTCTTTTTCCATTCCTTCAAAGATTTACTGCTTCGTTTAAACAGATATCCTTGCTTCACGGGAATTTCCCTGCCAACACCCATCTCACCCATATTGTATTTCTCCTTTTTCGACGGAGTAAATATGTTCGACTTCCTTCGAAATTTCCTGTGTGGCATAAAACTGAGATAAGTCAACGTCCTTATTTCCCTTTAAACGATGTGTTCGTTGTATACAAATTAAACCTGATAGTGGTCGGTGTTAAGATCGAAGATCTGAAATCTCCGTGTTGATTCTGTACATTATGAAAGTTATCGCTTATGGTCGCAGTGTCATTTTGAGTAGAACTGTTATGAAGCGATCTAGTATCTTCATCTTTATCAGGTGTCTATCAAATAATAATTTGTGATACCATCAATGGAACGTATTTTTATTAACAGAGAAATATGACTTACATTCAATTTCGATGAATTTGTCGCTTCCACTTCTTTAGCCAGAAGCTGCGTAGTTTTGGCAATCGTTGGAACAGGATACTTTATTTCATTGTCTATCGCTTGCTGCCCATTGCATCTATAATGCTTCGCAGATATATGTTGTATAATTTTTTGGCACACTGTAACATTCGGAATAATCATCAGAGCCCGCAACAGTGGTTGCATCACGTTATATCCAGAATTGTTTCATGTCATTTACCATCCTGGAATACCCTCTCAACGTTCAAACCATAAATAGCACACGTCTCGTAATAAGGGCATCTCAGATCACATGCCAACTTTCTCGGTCTAACATCTTTAATAACCCTGGGATTAGCATCGTTAATTGAATCTAGTGAACAAAGTTTATGTAACGACTCTGCTTGCACAATGGGGGGAGTATTCCTAAATACGTGAAACTACCTTGAACTCCTACGAGTATTTTTGGTACCTCCGACATATTTCGAAACGAACACATCCTGTTATAAAAATTGCAAACGATCGAGAAACTTTCCTCGTTCTCTAAACTAAATACAAGTAATAAACCGTCGATCCAAGCAGAGAACTGAAAATAATGATATTTTCACTAAATGTTACAAAGCATCGAATCAAATGAAATGTGAATATATCACTGTGCTTACTTGTGACTCTGGTATTCCACCCTCATCTCTAATGAGCAAGAGATAACTCTGATCATTGATAAAGACTTCCTTTTTAAAGCGCCCACCTTCTGGAGATTCCTCGTGCATGAACGAACCAGTTAAATATCTGTGAACCAAAGCTGATTTGCCGGAGTCCGACGAGCCAATGATTCCTAAATGTAACTCCGGAACGTCTCTGGCTAACGTCCATTCGTGACTGTTAACAAACGAATCTGGAAGAACGAAGAATTTTATTCTTAGGCAAAGTTCTTGTACACGTTTAAAAAATGATTTGCATGTACGATCTTTTACCTTCGATCGCGACAACATGTTCTCGGATCTGTTTCGAGATGTGCGAATCGGAAATAAGATCTATTAAATCATAAATAGCGTAGATAGATGGATGAACACTCTCGAAACGTTGTATTTCTTGTCTAATCGCAAGGGAATGATCGTGCCCACTCTGCTCAGTTGTCATTTTCTTTAAAATTGCTTTAAATTACTCTTGAAAATTACATCACAGGCACTTTGTAAACGATCGAACTGTTTTCACATGATTTCGACTGATTTAAATTTATCAGTCCTCGTGTAACACATGTCAAACTTGACTATTTATCAACATCGTTGGACGAGCAAAGCAAGTTACTTAGCAGTCTTAACACTGGCTGCATAAAGTAACTCCGCCTTTTTAGAAACAAAATCGGAAACTGTCAAATCGCAAGCGACAAGTCGTCGCGCTTAATATTTCTAAATCCACAGCTGCAGTAAGAGGAGACTTGCAAATAAACGTTCAAATAGTATCTGTATGAAATTTGATTACGCTCATGGCTTTACGAATCTGTTCAACTACGTTCTGTTTCTGTTGCCTAAAAAGCGTAATGCAAGCTCGAACCTCGAACCAAGCACGACCACAGACGAAGTACAGACCTAACATTAAATTCGTATCACCGATTTACTATTTACGCAGTTTCCAGTTACCATCCTCGTGGAACGTTCACCATTATCGATTCAGCATTTGTGAACAGCACAAGAGACATCTACAATGTTTTAAATCTGTTCGTTTGTGGATGTGAGGAAAAGGTATGAGTCACTCAGATCACAGATCAGCGCGACCAGTGGTTTACACGGTTTATATAAACAGAACGTGTGGCTGTATCAATTATTTCGTCAGTCGTACGGGTTCCAAGCATAGGAGATAATATTATCTCTATGTTCCTAAGTCAATTAAACAACAGAGTTTACACAAACTGCACATTGCTGCACCTGTGTCCGTAAAGACTTTGTGAAAGTGTAATGATGGATTCGAAGGAAATGAATGGCATAAAAGCTGGTATGAAAGCCAGTATCGACGACCCAGACGCGTTCGGATGCACGAGGTGAGACTTAACGCGTATTGTTATTGAACAATGCCCTACATGTTATCACCATATTTGTACAGTGACATGTGTTACCTACTTGCATGAAGAACACAGAAATACAATGTCCAGAATCCACTGTGTATGGACGTTTTTATATTTATATATTTCATTAATTTTGATTGCAGTGCATTCGTCAGATCTTACAGATCTCTTGTATACGTCGTTATTTTTACTTATAATGAGTTTAGTTGAATGTACCAGGCATGCACCTTTCTATATTTTCCAGAAACAGCGTCAGTCCTCTCGTGGGTCCTTTACAGACAGCACCCACAGAACGTTATGCTACACATTACAATATGAACCATCAAAAACGTGGATTAGCTATTATTTTTAACCATGAATTTTTCACTATTAGACACCTTGGACCAAGATCTGGGACAAATGTAGATTGTGATAATCTTGTCAGTACATTGAAAAATCTTGGTTTCGAAGTAAAAGATTATCATAATTTTACACACACCAATATAGTGAAAAATTTAGAAGAAGGTATCTCTTCGATGTTTCCCTTCCATAATGCTTAACATCCTTTCTTTGATCATAAAACAAACATTTTATGCGCTTAATACACGTATCATGTTAGATAAATATTAACGAGTCATGCGTTTCTGTTTTACAGTTGCCAAAATGGATCATTCCCAACATGACTGCCTATTTGTAGCTGTATTGAGCCATGGAGAACAAAATGTTCTTTATGCTTACGACACTTCGTACAAGCCTGATTCCATTTGGTCTCATTTTACAGCTGATAAGTGCCCTTCTCTTGCCGGAAAACCAAAACTATTTTTTATACAAGCTTGTCAAGGAGATAAATTAGACAGCGGATCGACGTTGAAAGAACGTACAGAGACCGATGGTCTGCCGACTTCTACGTTCCGTATACCGAATCAAGCAGACTTCTTAATCGCTTACTCCACGATACCAGGTGAGTACGCCTTGGAACAGTCGTTCGAATTAATTCAAATGGCCGTTACGGTGAATCGTGAATCACTCAGTCCCTCTACGTCACGTTTTCATAGGCTATTATTCATGGAGGAACACTACTCGCGGGTCGTGGTTCATGCAAGCGTTGTGCCTCGAATTGCGTGAAAACGGTTATCGTTACGATATGTTAACGTTGCTCACGTTCGTGTGCCAACGAGTCGCTCTCGATTACGAGTCGAACACTCCTGATAATATTACGATGCATCAGCAGAAGCAAATTCCATGCATCACTTCGATGTTGACTCGGTTGGTAAAATTCACTCCCAGAAATGGAATTGCCTAACCGTAGGCAGACAAAGAGAGAGATTTATGAATTATATTTAGTATATTGAACATCGCGTACCTTTGCATTGATTACATTATTAGGATTTAAAGTAATATATTATCCATGTATAATATATTATCCTATTTCTTAATGTGATTGCGTCGTATTGCATTTAAACGACGGCATTTATCTTTTACAAACTGCCATTGCATTATGCAGAATTTATATTATAAGATGAAAACGATAGTGTATAATACTTAAAAGCAATACCATAGATTAATGCTCTATACAAATTTTTGTACTTGCCTGAATTAAGACGTAAATTTTAACACGTGTACCATGAGATTTATTCTTAAGCAGAAATTTACAACGATACGTCTTTTAACGCTCATCGAATCAGTGGGAAGTTGCATAAAATGTAGTGATGATAGAAAAGTATATTGCTCTTCCGAACTTATAAAATGTGAGAAATAAGTACAAAAAGAAGCTGCGGTGTTACAAATCGATTGCCTTCATGATCGCTACTTCATGAACAAAATTTAACGCGTGATTCATATATGAACAGTACAATTTCGACGTTGTATTTGAAAAGAAGGTATTTTTTAATTGTTACAATGCGTGCAACTTATGAAACTTGTATAAAATGAATGAGTGGCCTGTCTTTTCGCAATAAGCAATAGTTTAAAGTTGAAGGAAGCAAGGAAACATTCTCGACTAGGTACAATGCATCGTCACTTCAAGACCTGCGCTCCCCTTGTTAGCAGTAAACTTAACTGGTTAAAGTAATCTTGTGATAAGGTGCAATTACAACGAATATTAAAATTTGACTACTACTACTACTACTACTACTACTAGTACTACTACTACTACTACGGTAATGCATATGGATTAAGAGAAGCAATTTGCATAAGCTATTGGAATTGCTTATACGTAAAGTGTTATATTGCGTTTGTTGTTTCGGAAAAGTTATCATCGAATGAATTAGATACAGATATTTGTGATTGAATCGGCATTATTACGATTTATGAAATCTTGAAGAATGTGATACAAGTCTTTCATAATACGATGTTTAATATCGCTTTTTAAAAGCCTTTGATTAATTGTGATCGCTATGCATTCAATATAGATATAATTCAATGTATCATCATTGTGTACGTGAGTGATTAAGATACATTGTTCCTTGCTCTAGGAATATGGAGCACCATTTTCGGATATCTCATCATATTTCAGAAAGTAATCGCTCAATAAGGTATTATTAAGAATTTGCGATACTTATTGTGGCATATTGTGATAACTGTGTGCTCGTGTGCTTTCGCGTTACACTTTTCATGCACTTTTATATGCAATTGTATAACAACGTTTTGCAATCTCTATATTATAGATTTTATATAAATTTTTAATACATATACGCGTATTTCTAATTCGAGTATTTACTGAACTTCTATGTACAAGAATTTGTGAGCAAATATACAAGGTACAATAAAGTTTAAATAAATAAAAAAAG